AAATTTAAATAATAATTATTATTATAATTATATTAATAAAAATAAAGTAATCAGGGTTTTTAAAAGAGTTAGGTTTCCAATTTTCATAAGTAGATGAACTTCAAAAGATTTTGATTTAAAATTTTGTAAAATTTCAATTTTAAATGAATTTAATTAGAAATATAAAAAAAAACTTAGATTTAAAAAAAATTTTTAAAACTAAAATAATTGCAAAAATTCAATTATTTTCAAAAATAATAAAATTCTTCGCAGAAATTCAATTATTTAAAAAAAATTTTAATAATATTCTACACAAACATTTAATTGTTTTCATAAATAATAAAAATTTCACAGGAATTCAATTATTTACAAATTATTTTCATAAATAATAAAATTCTTTTTTGGAATTCAATTATTTTCATAAATAATAAAACACATCGCAGACTTTCAATTATTATTTTAAATACAATTTTAATGAAATTCCTCGAAAATTGTAATTATTCTTGAAAATTTTATTAAAATTCATCAAAGAAATTCAATTATTTTAAAAAAACCTTTGCTAGAATTTATTTATTAGAATTTAAGTACTATTTTCAAAACATTTTTAAATTGAATTTCTTCAAACAATTAAATTATTCTCAAAAAATTTTTAATGAAATTCTAATTGTCACAATTCAATTTTTTTTAAAAATAATTTTAATAAAATTCTTCGTAGAAATTGAATTAATTTAAAAAATTTGTCAAAATTTATTAATTTTCAATGTCTTCTATTTCAATAAAATTTCACAAAAGAATTCAATTATTTAAAAAGAAATTTTAATAAAATTCGTCTTGAGATTTAAATTATTTTCAAAAGTAATATAATTCTTAGCAGAAATTTAATATGTTAAAAAATTTACAAAAATTCTCGTCAAAGTTTCAATTATTTTAATAAATAATAAAATTTATATTCAATTATTTAAAAAAAAATTTTAATAAACTTCTTCGTAAACATTTAATTAATTTATAAATATAATAAAAATATCACAGGAATTCAATTACATATTTACAAATTATTTTCATATATTATTCCATTAGTTTCATAAATAATAAAATTTTTACAGGGATTCAAGTATTTTCATAAATAATAAAACTCAATTTTAGAATTTCAATTATTTTTAATACAATTTTAATAGAATTCCTCGAAGAAAGTTATTATTCTTAAAAATTTTATTAAAATTTATTAAAGAAATTTAATTATTTTAATAACCTTTTCTACAATTTATTTATTAGAATTTAAGTATTATTTGCAATACATTTTTAATTAAATTTATTTAAAGAATTAAATTATTTTCAAAAATTTTAATGAAATTCTTTGCGAAACAATTCAATTTTTTTAAAAATAATTTGAACAAAAAATTCTTGACAGAAATCCAATTATGTTTAAAAATTTACAAAAATTCTCATCTGAATTTCAATTATCTTTATAAATAATAAAATTTTTCTCAGAATTTCAATTATTTTCAAAACTTTTAATAAAATTCTTGGCAGAATTTGAATTATTTTGAATACAATTTTTATCAAATTTTTGGAAAAGAACTTTTTCAAAAATTACTAAGAAAAAATTGAGTTAAAGAAGAATTTTAGTAAAAAATTCTAGAAATGAATAATCGTAATGATGAAAATAATTTTTGAAGAAGTTACAGTAACAAAGTAGCAAGTTTTATAATTATATTTTTATGTTATTGAATTTCAAATTTTTAAATATCTTATTTTTTATAAAAAAATTGATAAAATATTTATTTAAAAATGAAGTTATTGATGTTTTCGAATAATTTTCGTTTTAAAAACCTGGAATTTCGTTTTTAAAATCCGTTTTTTAACCTGGAAAAGTCAGGGAATTTGAAAAGAGCAAAAACGAACCCTGAGTAATAATAATAATAATAAATTAATAACAGTTAATGTTAGAATTTTTCGCTGATTAAGAATTATAATTACGAAAGAAGAAGTAAATAATAATAAAATAAAAAATTAACAATTAATTGAAAAATGAAATTAACTGATTTAATTTACTGTTCATTGGGGAAAAAAAATTCGGCGTAAACTAAATATCTTCATCGAGAGAATTTTTACGAACTTTTTTTTTTGTTGAATTCAATGAAACGACGGAGGGAAAGTTGGATCCTTAATCAACAGATTCTTCTATATCTTTTTCGCTTTTTATTCCGCTCCTTCGGGTATCTTCTTTCATTCTCCCCTCTCCAGCCAAACTTCTACACTTGTGCTTTCTTTATCAAAATGCCCTGAGAGGAAATCTTAGTCTTGCAATTCAAGAAGAGGCGCTAAAATATTGAAGAGCTGCGACAAAAATAAGGGATGGATGGATGGATCAACTGGTCCTCCCTTATTGTTTCGAATTCTATAAGCACTTAAAGGCCTTAAAGCAGAGAGAGCCGTGTATTCTTCTCGAAAACTCTTCGATATTACTTTGTTGCTGGAAAAAAAAATTTTGGGAGAAAAATTATTATTATTACTATCATTATTGTTATTATTATTGTTTTACTATTATTATTACTATCAGTATTGTTGTTGACATTATTATTATTATTTTTATTATTTTTATTACTATTATCAATAATATTCAAAAATCCAATAAAATAAATAAATAGTAGTAATAATTAATTATTATCATTATAATGATTAAAATTGAAAAAATGCAGATTATTTTGAAAAAAGTAACTTTTTTGTATGAAAAATGAAATTTGCAGGCAAAGCATAATTGTGAGAAATTTGAGAAAGGTACATATATATAAAATGTTAGAAAATAAAGTGTAGGACGTAAGCTTGTTAAGATCAACACTTACCCGTTATGTAGCGTACTTCCCTTCAGTTGTTAAAATTTATGAAGCACTGTCCAATTTGTATAACAATGCGAACGACTCTTAATTGGAGCAGAAATTCTGGGTAAAATTTAATCAAAATCCCTATAAGGGACACATAACTCTCCGCTGATTTCTCTTTCGCACCTGTAACATTCAAAATAATTTTTATTCGTTAAACATTTTTTATTGGAAAAAAGACAAACTTGAATTTATATTCGAAAAGAAATAAATTCAAGTTTAGAGTCGCAAAAAAATAAAAATTCGAATTTATATTCGGAAATAAATAGAAATTCATTTGAAACAATTCAAATTCAGATTTATATGCGAAAAGAGAAAGAAATTCGAATTTATACTCGGGAAGAAATACTAATTCGTTTGAAAAAATACAAATTCGAAGTTATATTCGAAAAAGAATACAAATTCATTCGAAAAAATACGAATTTGAATTTATATTGAAAAAAAAAAATTTCTAATTTATAGGCGAAAGAAATACAAATTCGAATTTATATTCGGAGAAAAAAACGAATTCATTTGAAACAATTTAAATTCAAATTTATATTAAAAGAAAAATACAAATTTGGATTTTTTATTTGGAAAAAAAATACTATTTCACTTGAAAAAATACAAATTCATTTGAAACAATTCAAATTTAGATTTATATGCAAAAATAAAACGAACTCGAATTTATATTCGTAAAAATACAAATTTATTCAAAAAAATTCAAATACAAAGTTATATTCCCCAAAAAAATACAAATTAATTCGAAAAAATTCATATTCCAATTTATATTCCCAAAAAAATAGAAATTCGAATTTATATTCGGAAAAAATAGAAATACATTTGAAACAATTCAAATTCAATATGCGAAAAAATACAAATTCGAATTTATATTCGGAAAAAATAAATTTATTTTAAAAAATTCAAATTCAAATTTATATTCGCCCAAAAAAGTACAAATTTATTCGAAAAAATTCAAATTTAAATTTATATTTCTCAAAAAATTTACAAATTGATTGGAAAAAATTTAAATTTAAATTCCCCAAAAAATTTACAAATTTATTCGAAAAAATTCAAATTCAAATTTATATTCCCAAAAAAAATACAAATACGAATTTATATTCGGAAAAATTCAAATTCAAATTTATATTCCCAAAAAAAAATACAAATTTATTCGAAAAATTCAAATTTAAATTTAATCTCCCCAAAAAAATACAAATTTATTCGAAAAAATTCAAATTCCAATTTATATTCCCAAAAAAAACAAATTCGAATTCATATTCGGAAAAAATAGAAATACATTTGAAACAATTCAAATTCAGATTTATATGCGAAAAAATACGAGTTCGAATTTATATTCGGAAAAAATACAAATTTATTCGAAAAAATTCTAATTCAAAGTTATATTTAAAAAAAAATACAAATTTATTCGAAAAAATTCAAATTTAAATTTAATCTCCCTAAAAAAATACAAATTTATTCGAAAAAATTCCAATTCCAATTTATATTCCCAAAAAAAATATACATTCGAATTTATATTCGGAAAAAATAGAAATACTTTTTAAACAATTCAAATTCAATATGCGAAAAAATACAAATTCGAATTTATATTCGGAAAAAATACAAATTTATTCAAAAAAATTCAAATTTATATTCCCAAAAAAAAAAATACAAATTCATTCGAAAAAATACAAATTCGAATTTATATTCGAAAAAGAATAAAATATTTAAAGGAAACTCGATTTCTAAATGTGAAAAGTTTAATAAATAACGGGAATATAATAAACACGTCTATAGGAACTTTAAATGTTTATTATATTCACGTGTTCATTAAATTGATAGTTTTATTACAAATGCCATAATTATATACATATATAGTGACTTCGTGATCATTTAGATAATGACAGGTATCATAATTTCTTCTCATGATCTTATAAAAGTCATATACATCTGACTCTATATAAAAGGAATCATAAGTAGTATTATTCGGCGATTACGTATAATTCAAAGTTTCGTCATATCTTTATTCAGAAGTCGCTATTAATAAATTCAAATATTATACATGATAATATTGAAATTTTATTGAAAAACTAAATGTCAAAATCAATTACTTTTTTTCTGACTATTTTGTTAATTAACATATAAATTAATTTTTTTTTGCAGATTGCAGTAAAACTGTGAAGATGGAAAAAGGGACAAATCGTTTCAGTTGCGATAAAAATTAATATAATGAATTAATTAGAGAAACTGAAGTGTTAATAGAAATTTTATTTGGACTCGGGGAAAATATGACGTCGACTACGGATTTGCCTAAGGAGCCTTCGAGGAAGAAATTTTTCAATCCGAATCTCATATCGCTAAAATGTCTTCTCTTCCTTTTTTTCGGAGGTAAGACGAATATTTTTTTTAGTTTAGTTTTGTTTTTCTATTTTTTCCTTCTATTTTTTATTTTCTTTATTCTTTTTTCTATACTATTTTTTTATTGTTTTCCATTCTTTACTCTTTTCAATTTTTTCTATTCTTTTCTATTTTTTTATTCTTTACAGGCTTCGTATTCACCAATTAATTTTCAAAAAGCAGCAAAAATTAGCTAATTTTTTCAAAAAGTAGTAAAAAAATTAGCTATCAAAGAATATAAAATTTGACGACTCAATTTTTTCATAATTTCTAAATTAAATTACATACATTTAAAAATAAAATTATATTTTTTAAGTCAATATTTGAATACCTATTTCTATTTCCACTAGTATTAGAATATTTTTAAATGATTTCAATGTAAAGCCTTTTTGAAATTCAACTATATCTAAAAATTACAATTTTAATTCTTTCAAAATTCAATTATTTTTTGTTGTTGAAAAATTTGTAAATTTGTTTATTCAAAACTTTAATTAATTAAATTTAATTTAATTAGGATTTTTAAAAAATTTTTAATAAAATTCATCGCGAGAATTCAATTATTTTCATAAATAAAAAAATTCTTCGAATGAATTCAATTATTCTATTCAAATTTTTTGATAACATTCTTTGTATAAGAATTCAATGATTTTCAATACATTAATTTTAAAATTGAAAATATTTAAAAAGAAAATTTTTTAAAAAAGTTAGGAAACAAAAAAGCAATTAATAACTAACTTCAAACTGCGAACAAATTACCCGAATCAAATGATTATTAATATATCTAGATTCTTAATAGAGAGAAATAATTTCTCTTCTTTTTTCATCAGCATTCATAAAAGTTTTACTACAATGTAGTGTAATAATTATTTGCAGGAAGAACATTCTTCTTTGCTTTATGAAGTATAGTAATAAAAAAATTATTCCCCTTAACACTCACTTACTTATGCATTATAGCATTGTGTTCTCTTTCTCTTTACGATCCCTCCGATCATTAGCGTCTAATGGATTACTCCCATATTTAGCACTCACCCTAAATCAATGAGTAATTATCTCCAGGGTGTATTATTACAAAAACGTGATTAAAAAAATGTGACCTTTAAAACTTATCAATTAACATTGATTTCGTCCAGTTAGGATATTGTTCGTTTATTTCCTATAAAAGAAAGAGAAACAGTATTAATTAGGTATTTAAACACTTAAAGCACTCTGTTTAATTAAAACTATTTTAAAATTTCCACTATTTTAAATTCGCTAATACTAGAAATCAGAAAACTATTCTCAAAAATTGTAATCAAATTCTTTAAAAAGATTTTATTATATTTTCAAAAAATACCCAAAATTCAATTATTTTCAATATCTAGTATTTTCTTAAAATTTCGCAAAAGAATTCAATTATTTAAAAAAAAATTGATAAAATTCAATTATTTTCATAAATAACAAAATTTCTACAGGAATTCAATTAATTTAGAATAGTATTTAAAAAATTTCGAAAAAATCAATTATTTTAACAAAATTTTTATACAATTCTTCACAATAATTCAATTACTTTCACTAATAATAACATTTTTCATGGAAATTCAATATTTTCAAAAAAAATTTTTGTTAAAATTCTAAGCAAGAATTCAATTATTTTCATAAATAATAAAACTTATCGAAGAATTTTAATTTAATTTCAACAAAAATTTTTACAATAATTCTATTATTTTCATAAATAATAAAATTCATTTCAGGAATTTAATTATTTTTGAAAATTTTAATAAAATTCTTAGCAACCATTCAATTATTATTTTCTTAAATAATAAAATTCACAGCAGAATTTCAAATTATTTTTAAAACTATTATAAATTAATTAATCGAAAAATTCAATTATTTTCACAAATAAAGTTTTCCACAAGAATTCAATTATTTAAAAGAAAATTTTCATAATATTTATTATATTTCGAAAAAATTAATTAATTAAAACAATCTTTATAATATTCTTATAAAGAATTCAATTATTTAAAAAAAAAAAATTTTTTACAGAAATTCAAATTTTCTTTAAACATTTTAATAAAAATTTTCGAAATAATTCAATTATTTCCATAAATAATAAAATTCTTTTCAGGAATTCAATTATTTTTGAAAATTTTAATGAAATTCTTTGCAAATATTTAATTATTTTCATAAATAATAAAATTCATCTCAGAATTTCCAATATTTTTAATATAATTTTAATCGAATCCCTCGAAAAATGTAATTATTTTTAAAATTGTAATTTCAATTTCTCGAAAAAATCATTTATTAAAAATTTTTTTTTTTAAATTCTTTGTAAGAATTCAATTATTTACAAACATATTAGAATTTTTCACAGGAATTCAATTATTTTTAAATTTTTTTTATAAAATTGATCGAAAGAAATCAATTATTTTATAATTTATATACAATTTTAATAAAATTGTTTTGAAATAATTCAAGTATTATTTTAGATTTAAATAAAATTATTACGAATATTTCAATTATTCACATAAATAATTCTTCTAAAGAATTCAATTATGTCGATAATTAACAAAATTATTCCCGAAAATTCAGTTATTTTGAGGCATTTTAATAAAATTCTTTGCAAAATTCAATTATTTTCAAAAATTCTTATAAAATCGTTAGCAAAAATTTAATTATTTTCAAAAAAATTTAATAAAATACCACGTAGACATTCAATTATTGTCAAAAATTTTAATATGATTCTTTGTAAAATTTAATTATTTTTAAAAACCTTTCGCAATTCAATGATTTTTAATATCTACTATTTTTATAAAATTTACAAACAGACTTCAATTACTTAAAAAATTTGTTGTAGAAATCTTTGTAAGAATTTAATTATTTTCTTGAATAATAAAAATTTCTCAGGAATTCAATTATTTAAATTATAATTTGCATAAAATTAGTCGAAAGAAATCAAATATTTAAAAATTTTTATAAAATTCTTCGCAATAATTAAATTATTTTTATAAATATTTAAATTCTTTCATGAATAATAAAATTCGTTGCAGGAATTCAATTTATTAGCATGATAAGAAAGAAGTTAATATTTTTTTTATGAAAATTAGGAAAAAGTCAGGAAACTAAAATATAGAAAGGAATTTTTTTCAGTTTTCTTAAGTGTCTAAAACGAGTTTTTTTTTCGTCAAGTTTAATTTTTCGATAACTACTTTTTTTAATACTTTTTCAGTTTGAAAGCTACTTTTTTAAATTTCATTATCGAGTGCGAAGTCTGATAATAATTTTTAATTTCAAAATTTGAAACTTACAGGAATGGGCTGCCTATTTCCTTTTCTCCCGCTTCACATGACGGAGGTGGGATTGACGAGAAATAAAATAGGAATAGTGTCAATGGCATCGGCAGTGGTGGCAATATTGGGACCATTAATTGCCGGGCCATTGGCTGACAAAATGGCAGGTCATCAGGGTTCAAATGACAAATCATCGACAGGTCGCTATCTTCGGGTAATGATAGCCGTGGCTTGTGTATTCTCAGCACTTTTCTATGCCCTTCTCCTCCTGGTGCCGGCGACGAAAATTGAACTCTCTCAGGAGCGAAGTCCGTCGTTGAATTTTTCCTGCGATCAGAATGGCGCCATTATTTATCAGGAGCGATGTAAAGATACAAAAGATTGTCATCGTTGGACTGAAGAACGTCTCGGGACAATTGTCTTGACAAAATGCCAGTATATCTGCACTCCAAAGAAGGCGAAAGTAAATCGACAATTCTCAGATGGAAACACTGAATATTCACTTGAGGACGGAAGTGGCGATATCACTGTCGCTCCGCTCATTGTTCCCGAATCATTGTTGCAGGTAAAACTAGAAAAAGAAGCCAAAATAATTAATTAAAAAAATTAATATAACGAAAATTTTATTAATTTTTATTTTATTTCTTTAGAATTCAAATAAAATAAAAATTAACTTTCTGTTATCGAATCTTTTAATTTAATCAGGTTTGCCACAAATATTTAATTTTATTTTTCCCTAACTTTTCCCTGATTTCCAGACAAAATTCTCACTTTTTCCCCTGACCATTAAAAAATATTCTGATTCACTCTAAAAATTATTAGAAACTCAAAAAAATATTCTATGTATTACATTTACATTTACAAATTTCATTAATTGTAAAATTATTCAAAAACATCAATAATTTCTTTTTTAAATAAATATTTAATCATTATTATTTTTCCGTAGGAGTTAAAATTCTTCAATACATTCAAATTCAAACTTTTTTGAAATTCAACAATTTATAAGAATATTATTACAAAACATAAAGAAGGCAATCGCTCCGAGTCTTCGACTCAAAGTGATCGCCTTCTTCATGTTTTGTTATAATTTAAATTACCATGAAATTTTTCAAAAAAAATTATTATTTACAAAAATCCTAAAAAAATCCTTCGCAAGAATTCAATTATTTTTAAAAAGTTGTAAATTTTCTCAAAAAAATTCAATTATTTGAAAAAAAATTGTAATAAAATTCGTTGCAATAGTTCAATTATTTTCATAAATAATAAATCGATTATTCGGTAATTCATTTTTTAATCAATTTTTATTAGAAAATTCTAGAAAAATTCAATTATTTTGATTAAACAATAAATAATTTATTAAATAATTGAATGTTGGTTAAAATTGAATTCTCATAAAGAATTTTAACAACAAATTTTGAAATAATTCAATTATTTTGACAAATTTTAATGAAATTTTTAAGAATAATTACATTTATCGAGGAATTTGATTAAAATATTGTATCAAAAATTAATTAAAATCCTGCGATGAGTTTTACTATTTATGAAAATAATTAAAAATTTTCCCGAAAATGTTATTAAAATTTTTCTAAAATAATTGAATTTCGGTGAAGAATTTTATTATTTATAAAAATAATTGAATTCTTGAAAAGAACTTTGTTAAATTTTTTTTTAAATAATTAAATTCATGCGACGAATTTTATAAAAATCTTTTTAAATAATTGATATTTTTCGAAAAACTTTATGAAATTTTGTATATTAAATAATTGAACTCATGTGAAAATTTTATTATTTATGAAAATAATGAAATTGAATTGAAAAAAATTTATTAAAAATTTTATAGATTATTGAATTCCTGTGAAATTTTAACAAGAATTTTATTCAACTTTTCAAAAATAATTGAATTTTGTCATTTTGAAGAAGAATTTTGTTATTTATAACGATAATTGAAATTTTGATGAGAATTTAAAAAAAATTTTTTTAAATAATTAAACATTAAAGAATTTTATTATTTATAAAGATAATTTAAATTTCGACAAGAATTTTTAAAAAATTTTTAAACATAATTGAATTTCTGCGAAGAATTTTATTACTTTTGAAAATAATTGAATTTCTGGAATGATTTGTAACTTTTCCAAAATTCAATTTTTTTTAGTATTTTTAACTAAAATTCTTTTATCAATCTAGTATTTATGAAAATTGTAAAAATGATTCATTAAATAATTTATAAGTCATAATTTTATGATAGTTCTTGTAAAATTAAGTTATTTAAAAAGAAATTATTGTCTGAAATAGAAAAAATTCAAGGTTTTGTATTAAAATTCGTGGTAATTTCATAGTTTACGAGGCAAACAAAAAAACATCAAAATTCAGAGTTTTTTCATAAATTTTTAAAATTCAATTTTTTCCAGTACTTTTACTAAAAATCCCTGACTTTTCCCTGAATTCCCTGACCTGTGGCAACCCTGTTAATTACATAGTTGGTCCCTAAGGACCGTGGGGAATGTAACATAAATAAATAAATTTAAAAATCTTTTCTAAGATAAATTTTGAAAAAATTTTTTGTGATTGAAAAATGGTGGAGTTTTAATAGTAGAGTTAAAGTGGTTTTAATTTAATTAGTTATTTAATTAGTTTAAGAAATTGTAGTTATACTTTTAGTTTAAAGTGAATTTTTTCTAGTAGTGTAGTAAAATAAAATTTATGGAATGGAATATAAAGTTGGCAAGTGGTTGTGCTTTACAGGAGCAGTATGAAAAAAAATCGCTGCTATCCATCAACATGGACAGAACTCCACCTCATATATGTTACAAAAATGGTGAAGAGGGAAAACTTTGTCATGCCTTTACCAATAATACGGAGAGAATTGCAGTTAATGCCACCCTTGGGCAACCGACCAACACCGAAGAAGTTGACGAGTGGTGTGCTTATCCTGTTTCTGATTACTTCAGTTGTCGAATTCCTTCCAGTCTACAAACTATGGAAATTAACAAGTCCTGCTCGGTACAATGCAAATTGGAAGATCCTTACACCACACCTGGTAAATTATTGTTTCTTATCAGTATTTATTCAATTTTTAGAACAAAAATTTAATTTCTAAAAATTCTAAATTTTAGAAAAAAAAATCTAAATAAAATAAGTTCTAAAAATTTAATTTTGCTTTTTCCTAACTTTTCCCTGATTTCCAAACATTTTCCTGGCTGATTTTGACTTTTTTCCTGCCAATAAAGAATATTCTAACTCACTCTGAAAATTATTAGATACTCAAAAAAATTTTCTAACACATTTGCGAATTTCTTTAAATGTAAAATTATTCGAAAATGACAATAACTTCATTTTTAAATAAATATTTAAAGATTATTATTTTTCCGAAGGAATTAAAATTTTTCAAAAGATTCAAATTCAAACCTTTCGAAATTAAATAATTTATAAAAATATTATTACAAAACATGAAGAAAACGATAACTCCGAGTCGAAGACTCGGAGTGATCGCTTTCTTCATGTTTAACAATAATTAAAGTTGACCGAGTAATAAAATCATTATTTCCTATTAACTGCAACTTCTTCAAAATTATTTACATCATTTTAATTTAATCATTATTTTCTAGAATTTTTAAATAAAATTCTTCTTTAAATAAATTATTTTTAATAATTTTTCAAAAAGAAAATGAGAATTTTCAAATTCATTTACTTACAATTCAATTATACGAAATTTCAATACTTCGAAAATTCTTCAATTAAATATTCATTAGAAAATAAAAACTTGAAATAATTTTTAAAAATTTTTATTAAGCTTTTTGAAAAAAATTATAGTTCCATAGTTTTTTTAATTAAAAGTATGAAAAATTGAAATTTTCAAAGTCTTTAATTTGCAACCTTTACAAAATTCAATTGTATTTCTAAAAATTGCAATTATTAGTAACTTCTCCAAAATTCAATTATTATTTAAAACTTTAACTGAAATTAATTTTTAAATCAATTTTTATTAGAAAATTCTACAAGAATTCAATTATTTAAATAGAAATATAGATAATTTATTGAATAACTGAATGTTTCTTAAAATTGAATTTTCATAAAGAATTTTATCAACAAATTTTTAAACAATCGAATTCTCTTGACAAATTTTAATAACATTTTTAAGAAAATTTTCATTTTTCAAAAAATTTGATGAGAATTGTATTAAAAATAATTGATATTCTGTCAAGAATTTTATTAAAATTTTTGAAAGTACCTCAATTTCGGAGAAAAATTTTATTATTTGTAAAGATAATTGCAATTTTGACGAAAATTTTTGTTAATTTTTGAACATAATTAAATTTTTGCGATATTACTTTTGAAAATAATTGAAATCTTGAGACGAATTTTATTAAAATTTCTTTTTAAATAATTGAATTTTTTGTGAAATTTTATTGAAATAGTAGACATTAAAAATAATTGAATTTTGAAAAATTTTTGAAATTTATTAAATTTCTACGAAGAATTTTATTAAAATTATTTTGAAAAAAAATGATTTTTTACAAAGAGTTTTATTAAAATTTTTAAGAATAATTTTAATTTTTTTAAGACATTCAATTAAAAATTTATTGAAAATAATACTTAAATTCTAAAAAATAAATTTCAGCAAAGGTTTTTAAAATAATTGAATTTCTTTCATAAATTTTAATAAATTTTTTAAGAATAATAACTTTTTTCGAGGAATTCCATTAAAATTGTATTAAAAATAATTGAAATTCTCCAATGAGTTTTATTACTTTTGAAAATAATTCAATTCTTGTGATGAATATTCTTATTTATGAAAATAATTAACTTCCTCCGAATGATTTTATTATCTATGAAAATATTTAAATCCCTGAAAAATATTTTAAAATTTATGAAAATCATTGAATTACTGCGAAGAATTTAATGCCAAATTTTAAAACATTTGATTTTTAAAAAAAATTTATACAAATTCTAATTTAAATATTGAATTCCTGTGAAATTTTTATTTTTTTGGAAAATAATTGAATGTTCTTGTAGAATATTATCAAAATTTTTGTTTAAAAATTGAATTCTTTTGGAAAATTTTATTAAAATTGTAGAAATTATTGAAATTAATTGAATTAAGAAAATTTTTTGAAAATAATTGAAATTTTGACATGAATTTTATTAAAATTCTTGAAAATAATTGAATTTCTGGGCAGAATTTTATCAAAATTCCTGAAAATAATTGAATTCTTATGATGAATACTATTATTTATCAAAATAATTGAATTTTGCAATGAATTTTATTAATTTTGAAAATAATTAAATTCTTGTGATGAATATTGTTATTTATGAAAATAATTGAATTTTGCAATGAATTTAATTGAAATTCTTGAAAATAATTGAATTCTTATGATGAATACTATTATTTATCAAAATAATTGAATTATGCAGTGAATTTTATTAAAATTCCTGAAACTATTTGAATTTTGTCGAAGAATTTTATTAATTTTGAAAATAATTGAATTCTTGTGATGAATATTGTTATTTATGAAAATAATTGAATTTTGCAATGAATTTTATAAAAATTTCTGAATATAATTGAATTTTGGCGAAGAATTTTGCTATTTATAAAGATAATTAAATTTATTGAACGTAATTTTTAATAAATTTTTGAATATAATTCAATTTCTGGAATGAATTTTAGTACATATTTATTAAGATAGTTGAATTCTTTTAAAGAATTGCGTTAAAATTTTTTAAATTAAAACTAATTTCAAGAGATCTGAAACTAAAATTTTCCAAAAAAATACAGACACAAAAATTCAGAATTTTCTGATAAGTTCTAAACATTTAAAATTTAAAAATTTCTTATTGCAAATTCTTCAAGTTGCAATATTTGGAAGAAAAGTAAAAAAAAATCTTAATTTTTGAAAATAAGTCGAAGAAAGTGACATTTTTTGAAAATAACTCAAAGTTGCATTTTTTGAAAATAGTCAAAAAAGTCCAAGGCCTGAAAAAGGTGCAATTTTTTCTTTTTTTTTTAGAGAAATTTTCCTTTTTTTGGGGGAAAATTAATTAAATTTGTGTAATTTTTCAGGAAACGTGCTTGAAGAAAGTTTGTGTGGTCAAATAATAGGAAATCCACAGTTGACATTTTGGATGTACCTGGTGATTCGTTCGGTGGCTGATATTTTTCCGACAGCCGCTGTTGCACTGTTGGATGCGGCGGTTGTGATAGCAACTCGAGAAACTTCTTGCGGAAGAGGCGACGTCGGACGACAACTTGCTTTTGGTTCTTTGGGTTTTGCACTCTTTGGTCCATTGACCGGATATTTGACCACTATTGTCCCGAAAAGCTCAATGTACTATCTGCCAATTGTTCTTCATTGCGTTTTGGTTCTTCTTGCAGCGTGCGTCGCCCTTTCTGCAAACGGTAAATATAAAAAGCATCACCGAGAGAAAAATTTAAATAAGTAAAGTAATTTAAATGTAAAAAATAACAATGAATTTTTACTAATAAATTATTACTAGGAGAAGAAAATATTTTAATTGTTGTATTAAATATTTATTTATTTAGTTTATTTAAAAAAATATTTGTAAATAAAAAATAGTTTGTTGTAGTATTAAAATATATAGTGAATAAAAAATAGTTTGTTGTAGTATTAAAATATTAGTGAATAAGAAATAGTTTGTTGTAGTATTAAAATATTAGTAAATGAAAAATAGTTTACTTGTGTATTAAAATAAAAATCTTGTTCCGTTTCAGGAATGCCATTGAGTCCCCCCGAATGGTGGTGGCAAACGAGGTGCGGAATGCTTGCACTTCCAATGAGTGCCGTCAAAAGATATGGTAGCGAAACAGCGGCTCTTGTTTTTGTACTCATCATAATGGGAATATTTTGGAGTGCGATGGACACTTATCTTCCTTTGTAAGCCTCCTCCTTGAATTCGATTGTTTCCTTACTTTGCTTTAATGACAAAATTATATTAACTTTCTAAAATAAAATGATACTTTTCCATTCAATGAGAATTCGGAAAAAAAATTGTTCTCTAAAAAGTAACCAATTTGATTAATAATTTGTTGCGATTAAACATTTTCAGATATCTCACACAACTCAATGGCGATGAACTATCAATAGGAATTGTCCTGACAGTCGGGGCCTTACCAACTTTACTCTTCCTCTGGAAGTCGGAGCACTTGGTTGATTATTGTGGACATAGCAACCTTTTTATTTTAGCGTTCACCATTTATATTGTCAGGTATTATTATTTTTAATATTTTATTTTTTTCGATCAGATATTTTCCTTATAATTTTGGTTAATGATTTAATTATTACAATTTTAATTAGATGTTGTTATTATAATTTTTGTTATTTATTTATTAATGTAAAGTATGTAAAATAAAATTGTTTTATTTATTTGCTACTATTATATTATTATTTTTTTATAATTACTACAATATTAATAATATTCAATATTGAATAAAATAAAAATATTTAATGAATAGTCCATTAAATTAAATTTAAAAAAAAAATAACAAAAATTCCAGATTCACTGGTTTAAGTCTGGTACCTGATCCTTGGTGGGCGCTGATCTCAGAAGCTCTGGAGCTTTTCACCCTGGGCATTATGTGGGTCACTGCCATTCTCTATTTAAGACATTTAGTACCTCGCAATATGACGGTTACCGCTCAAGCCTTGCCTGTGATCGCCCACTTTTGCATTGGTAAGTTTTTCCTTTTTGTTACAAATTAAACAAAAATTCCTTTGTATTTTCATAAAAAGAAAACTAAAAACTTCTCTTTACCGCTGAAAACTAAAAGAGTTTTTTTTTCGCAGTTCCTTTTTTTGTAAATTAATATTTTACTTTTTAGTAATAGATGTAAAAGTTTTTTTTAGTTTTTACTAATAGATGTAAAAGTTTTTTTAGTTTTTAGTAATAGATGCAAAATTTCTTTTTAGTTTTTACTAATAGCTGTAAAAGTTTTTTTTTAATTTTGTAATAATTAATAGTAAAAATTTAGTAGTTAAGAAAAGTAAGAAAACAGTAAGAAATTTTCGAAACATTTTTTCAGGTCGCGCACTCGGAGCAGTAATTGGTGCATACGTCGATATTAACGAATCAAATATCGTCGAATCTCTCAAGTATGTTTATCGTTGCATGGCTGGGTCTGCAGCTATAATAGCAATTATTTATTTTATTCTCTATCATGGACTTTTGAAACCAAAATGTCATGCCCAAAATGTTCAGGGAACACGTCAACAACCGTCTGTTGTTCAAGGTACTGAAAAATTACAAGAAAATAATAATAACAATCAATTCACTTCATTTTCATTTAATTTTTTTCATTTCTCTCATTTTTTATCATTTAAGCTGCAATTGAAGAATATGAACAGAGTAAGTACGAATACAAAAAAAAAAATAATTGTTAACTTAAAGATAAATTTATAGTAAAAAAAATGTTACCCCTAAAATTATTAAATTCAGTTTAAAAAATTTAGATTTTTTTACCAATTTTTAGGAAAGAACTTTCTAAAGATAAAAATTTATAGTCGTCAAAAAAATTTTAACTACTATAATCATTGAGTTTAGTTTAAAAAATCCAATTTTTTATCTTTTTTTACCAACTTTTATATAGAAAAAAATTGTAGTTTAAATTTTCATAAAATAATAATTTTAAATTTATCTTTTCAGCAATGAATGGAAATGGAAGTTACACGCCATTAAGAGTCTATCACAATGGAATGGCTAAAAAGGGAGAGTTTCGATATTGAAGAGGCGATTCTTTTTTTTAGTTGGTGCTAAAGTTTTCTTAACTTCCTCTGAATCTTACATCGAGTGATCACAGTTTAATTAAAATATAAATAATATATTTGTGAAATATATTCAATTTTTTCAAAGAACGCTGCATTTTGTGCTGTTTTTTGAAAAAAATACATCGAAAATTGTACTTTCCACGATTGTTTTCGTATTTTTTTTTCTATTTTTTTGTTCACTTCCTCATAGAGGAAGTATTTTTTATTTCTACAGTAAGTGCATTATTTATAAACACTATAAAGAGTCATAAACATAATAGAAAGTGCTATTTTGCAAGATAGAGAAAATTGTTGAATGTTTCAATAAATGCTGAATGAATGAATTGAAAAATTGTGAGCGTGATAGAAATTATTTTCTTACTTGAACAATTTTACAAAATATTAGATTTCATACAGTTTTGTATACGTATAAAAACGAGAATCTCAATTATATTGACTGTAAAACTAATAATTTAGTTTAAAAGGCTCGTATTCTAATTTATAATCAATTTATTATGAGTCACTTCATTTTTTTTTATTTTCTTTTTGCTTTAATTGTAGCAAAATTCCGTTTATTCTAATTTAATTATCGCAAAAATTCGTTTATTTTGCTTTAATTCAATTATAGCAAAAATTCGTTATTTTGTTTTAATTCAATTATAGCAAAAATTTATTTTGCTTTAATTTAATTGTAGCAAAAATTTAAACAATGTGTCTTTAAATATTCGAAAGATTTTTGTTGATAATTTTGTAAATATCCTTAGAATCCTTAGGATATGAAATGGAGGATTTTATTGTAATTCTAATTTTTTTGCCTAATTCTAATTCTGCAGAATTTTCTTCCCTTATTTATATATGTTTTCGATAAAATGCATTTATGAATCGTATAAAGAAAAAGCGTTAATATATTAATGATTAATGTATGAATATTCTATATACATATTAATCGTATTAATTAAAAATTAAGTATAATTAAAAATTACGCATTAAGTCAGGTACATATCTATATCTATTTATTGTACGTATGCTTTAATATTTTTATACTTTCCAAAGATGGAGATGCAAGCAACTGCTACTTGATGTCGATTATTGGGATATGTACTTGAATTTCACAGTGTGCCTGAATTTTTAAATTGAAAGCCATATCATTTCAAATTTTTATATTCCTTAATTTTTTTTTCGTTTAGTATACTAAATTGAAAAATAAAAAAATAAAAATAAATAAAAACAAAATGAAAAAATATATTAAAAATACTATTTGTAAAAAATAAAATTGGCTATAAATTGTTTAACGATTTTGAGAAAAATTTTAAATGTCATGACTCGTTTTAAAAATTCAGTTTCCAATGTCAATTGTCAAGATAATGACTCTGGTGAATTCACAACGAATATTTAATGTACGATCCTTCAGTGTGTAAAAAAAAATTGTGTTCAATAAAAAAGAAAAGAAGAAAAATTTGTTCGCCTTTTTACTTTCCAAAAAAAAAAACTACTAAAATATCCATGGATTATTTCTCAATAGTCTATTTCTAGAGAAGAACAGAGAAAAACACATTTAATTCATAGTAAATTTATTATAGAAGAGCAAGATTCTAATATAGGCCTAAATTTAAAAAAAAAAATATTTTCAGATAAACAAAAACAATCTCTTGCTTTTACTATATAGGCAAATTTACAATACTAAACACTCTCTCAACGTACACTTTCTTCTTCCAGACAATCAATTTTCACTTATCTTTACACGTTTTTTTAGGTATGAAATATCGTGTGCATAATTCTCCTTACACATTATATGTAATATTTTCTATATTTCTATTATATACGTTTCTTTATATATATATATAAATTTTTTAATTTAGACAGAAAAAAATTGACCTTGTAAAACAATTTGCACATTTTCATTATTTATTCATTAAAAAGAGAGGGCAGTAAAATAGAATTAATTTTACGTTATATTAATTAATATATATTGTATATATGATGCAGTAATGAAAACAAAATTCAAGTATTTACAAACTGAAATTAAATCTTATCGATAAAGAAAATTGAAACTCATGAGTAACAATTGACTTATGAGACTGAATAATTTACAGCGATTATAATCTATTTTTTATGCACAAACAAAAAAAAGAGTATAAAAGTGAGAAATATTTTAGTACTTTTCATGTCATTCATAATTCACAATCTTACTAAATTTGCATATTAATTCACAATCAATATTTTGAAAATCTTTGCGAATGAAATTATTCTTCAATCATGTCCAACACTCAACTTTATAAATTCAAAAACGATTTTTAATAATAGATCAAATCGATTCTCTTTTCTTCTAAACTGAATTCACTAATTTTACTATATAATATGACAAAAATAGTACATTAAATATACTTTAAAATTTAAATTCATACACTTTCCCCAGTTTATATTTTAGTCTTCATTGATTGGTATATTTTTAATTGTCAGTTCGATGAAAATTGAATAGAAAAATTATTGAATTTAGTCATTAAATTTAATAATAATTTTTCTATTCATCCAGAGAAATATTTTATTAAAAATATATTTAGTCAAATAAAAATATGTCACAGAGCCTACAAAATTATTTTCTTTTTTCAATAAAAATTTTATTTAACAAAAATAAACAATTTAGTAGACTTCGAGACAAATATATATTTTTCCAGAATGTGAAAATCGATAATTTTCATCGAACGTATAATAAATTTTAATTAGTACAAAATTAAATAGAAAATAAAGAAAAATTTTCACTATGATCACATAGCAAAAAGGAGTTAATTTAAAATGACACTCATTACCAAATTTTCCAATGCAAACAAAAATGTTTAATAAACTTAAAATAACGTAGATTATTTTTATAAAATAAAACGCAAATTTGTTTTCTATATTTTAACAAATATTATTTTGGACAACATATAAAAATATTAACTTTTGTTCTACTCTTACTAAACAAAAATTGCAAAAAAATTATTTTTTTCATTAAATTTACTAATTTATTATTGTATACTTTGTAGCATTCGATAAAAATATTATACTTTTTTTATTTCTGTTCCCTATGTACACGTTTTTTCTAATATTCTTTTATTTATCATACTCCTTTCATTTATCTACGAGATATTTTTATATACAAATTACTTATTTCGTGAAGTAATTTTTTTCTTATAAATTGTGTTAAAAATCACAGTTCAAGTTAGGAGAAAATTATTTTTGCTTGCATTGGAGAATTTTTTTTTCAACCTAGAAACTAATATGCACCATTTTATATTTTTTACAAAGGGAAAAAAGAAGCAAATAATAAAAATCTGAGTATTCTAGCAGAATATTTACAATCATTTGCCTGTGATTTCAAATTATTTTGAAATTTATTTTTTATTTCTATTTTTTTTTCTTCCTCTTAAATTATCTCCTTATTGCTCAAGCATATTTCATAGTTTTCAAAGTTCGACATTTAAATCGAATATAGAATTTTTTCTCAAAATTCGGATTATTAGGAAAAAGACAAAATTAACGGTGAACCGAAATTTTTCTTTTCGTTTACACATAATTAAGTTTTTGTTAATTTATTGAAAACAATTTTTCATACTCGTTTCGTTTCATTGAAAATAAATTTTTCTTTGAAAGAAAAATTCGAAAAACATTTTTTTTTTATTTAAACAACTTTTCTTTTATTTAGAGAAATTTACTTTGAATAAAAAAAAATTTTTCTTTAAGTAAAAGAAATTTTATTATTAATATAGAGTTAAAGAAATAATTCTTTAATTTAAAGAGGAAAATTTCTTTGAAACAAAGAAATTTTTTTATTGATAGAGTTAAAGAAATAATTCTCTAATTTAAAGGGTAAAATTTCTTTGAAACAAATTCCTTTTGAATCAAACAAATTTTTTCATTGATATAGAGTCAAAGAAATAATTCTTTAATTTAAACAGAAAAATGTCTTTGAAACAAATAAATTGTTTTTGAATCAAAGACATTTTCTTTAAATCAAACATTTTTTTTTAATAAGACACTTTCTTTGAATCAAAGAAAAATTAGTTTTCAATCGAAGAAGCAAGTAAAAGTAAATGATTTCTTTAAATTAACAAAAACTTTTTTCCTGAATGTATTTTCAATGAAATTAAAAAAATTTAGAGTTTCTGGTAATTTTTCGGACTTTTTAATTTTTAATTTTTCTATAAATACCTACAATGAGAAAAATTCATTTCCAAATCAACTGCACGAACATTTTTCTTTTAAACAAGTAAAAATTGTTTTAATGAAATATGCTTTATTGAAAATTTAATATTTTCTTCAAGTCTTTCAATTGTTAAAAACGAATTTCTTCACTGTCACGAAAACATATTTCGTAAATTATTTTTAATTTCTTCTACAATAATTTCTTAATACAATAAGGAACGTAAATTCAAACTAAAATCGCTATTTTAGAAAAGGAAACAAATTGTTTTCTTTCCAATACACGGAAAAAGATAGAGTTACTTTTACTATTTTCGTAATAAAAAAAACCACCAGGAACTTCTTCCGTTTCTGCTTTGTAATTTTTACTATTTAATTTTGCTACTTACGAAGAGTATTTTATTTATTTTTTAACAAAAATCTAATTTTTAGCAAAAATTTACTCAGAAGGAAAAAAAATCGCTGAACTTAGAAAATTTAGTTTTTATGTACTTTTGTAAATAGTAAAAGTTACTCCACTTTTTCCGGTAAAAAAAATCGTTTTTACTTTGAATTTATTTTCTTAGTTTCTTTTATCTAATTCACATTCCTTGGGGGTATAATTTCGAAAATGAAAATACAGTTTCAAAATTTACCCAATTGAATAATTGAATAAAAATATATAAAAATCACGATTGTTTTCAATAGAAATTTTACCAAGGATTAATTATTATTTCGATTCAAGTCCAGAGAAAAAATGGTAAATTATTTATTACCAAAACCAAATAATCACTTAATTATCTTAACATTTTTAAGACATAAAAATTTTTGTTTTTCTTTTTTTTATATAAATTTTACGACTCTTTGCTTTTATATAAATCACTTTCTTAAATTAAATGTTTTGCATTTAGTGTCTCAAAAGAAAATTAATTAAGAAAGTTACACTCCTCAATCGCACTGGTTTCTGTTGTTGTTGTTTCTGTTGTTGTTTTAGTAAAATTATTACCACTATTATTCTCTTCTTCGACAAGTGTTCGAACAGCGAGAATTGTCTCCTCGTCCTTATCATGATCACCACCTCTCTTTTCATCGTTAGACTCATTTTTTTCGGAAACAGAACTCAATGTTGTATTTTCCGGTGAATTATTACTCGATTTCAATTCGTCCGAGAGTTTTGTTACCATTTTCACTAATTCCTCGACTGCCTTCGAAGTCGCTGCGGTTGAATCCAAATGTTCGGGACTTTCGCTTTTATCTTCTGTTTCTTCGTTCTCTTCTCCTTTTTCTCCTTTTTCCGTTTCGTCTTCTTCATTCTCTTTCTCTTTTTCTGTTTCTTCTTCGTTCTCCTCGTCTTTTTCGTCTTCGGACGATTCTTTTTCTTCGATTGTTTCTAGAGGCGCGTCTTTTTCAATTTCCTCCAAGGGCATCTCTTCGTCGGAGTTTTCTTTAGTCTCCGTCTCCATTGCCTCTGACTCGGTGGCACTTCCATTAATAATCGTCGGCGGTATATTCTCCAGCATTTCGGCAATGAACGGCGAATTCGCCTCGATGAGATCCTTGAGCGGTGTTTCGTTCGGATCGGGTAGATTCTCCAGATCCTCAGTCGTTTTAATGCCATTCTCCTCGATGTGTTGTAAATGAAAAATGTACTGCTCCTGGAATTTTCCGAAATGCTCATTCAGTACTTCGACGGGTTTCAACACCTCCTTCTCAGTCTTGGGATCGTACTCGGCTTTCATTAGCAGAGAATAGCCAATTGATTTTTCATAGTCCCGTGTTCGGACGTCGTAGGCTTGGACCGATTTGTCGTGCTTTTCGATTGAGTCGTCGCCGACGCCCTGCTCGACCATGCGCTTTTTTCTGAATAACGTGAGATTGCTGTAGCAATTCAATTGATTTGCTTCCAAATTGCTCGCCTCGAGAATTGTTCCTTCGTTGGGGGTTTCGCCGTCGCTTTCCGATTCGGAATCGCGAACGCAGATCATTTCTAGTGATACGTCGGGATTCTTGGTGGGGAAGTAGTCGACTTTGCTCTTCTCGGATTCCTCCTCTTCGGGGGTTGTTTGCTTCTTCCAACTGTGATACTCTCGGACTACTCGATCGTTTATTTGTGCTAGTCTGTATAATGTCTTTCGCATGACTTGTTGGAATTTTTTCATTTTTAGAGACGCCTCGTCGGTGGTTACTTTCTCGGGTTTACTCGGCGAATCGGAGAGGACGAAATTGAACTTTTTCCTTAGCGATTGCAGTTCAATGTCGATATCGTGCTTTTGATTGAGAATTAATTGTTCGAAATTTTTATTTGTCTTTTGATCTTCTTTACTCATTTGTGCACTTTTATTGCGGGTTACTCGATCACTGGCGCCGATGACTTCGACTCCTTCGTCGGAATCACTTTCAATGTCGATGATATTTGGGGCGGTGGAGGTGTTTGATTGGCGGGATTTTGGTAGGAGAATTCTTGGTTTTGTCTGTAGGACTGAGCCTGGAGTTCGGGGTTGTGGTATCGAGACCATTGGTCGATTTGGACGTTTTTGAATTAGCATTGCTCTTGGTTGTAGATGAGAGATGGGACGCACCATGTTTTGTCTTATCTGAATTTGTGCGGTTGGACCAATGATGTTTGGTCTCAAGTGTTGTTGAGAGAGGGGATTTATGAGGGTTGTTCTTAATTGCGAATGAGGTACTGAAGTTACGGGGGTTAATCTGCGCACTTTCATTGGTTTCAGTAAATTTAGAACTGGGGACGACGTTTGATTGGGTTTTGTGTTATTAGAAAGAATTTGCGTTTTAAGTTTGTCAGTTGTTATAACTTTAGAAGGTTGCGGTTGTACCTTTGTTGGACTTCCAAAAGGTAGTGCAGTGTCACCTTCAGTCATTGTTTGTTCACAGGGTATCAATGCAGCGAGAAGATCGTTATCACCAGCGAGAAGTGAACTATCGTCGTCTGATTGATTATTCACTGAGCCATTAGTGTGAATTGGTGTGGCGACCTGACCACTTTTTCTGGTGCGACGTCTCTTAACTTGTGGCATTTCACTGAGTACGGGATTGTACGTCTCATCGTCGTCATCCTCAGAGCCGGATCCGGTTTTTCGTCTCTTTCGTTTCCTTTTTCGACTGCAGCATCGAGATTCGTCTAAATTCATTTTTTCATCAACTTCGTCCTGGTTCATTGTCTTGTCATTTTGGAGAATTCTAAACAGGGAAAAAAATTTGATTACAATAAATTCCATACGAAAAAGCAGCATTAAAAAAAGAATGGTTGTCACAAAAATTTAATTAAACCCTGAAAAAGGATTGAAAATTCCTTTTCTTTGAAATTTAGTAAATTTTCAATTCACCTGCATACAGTCTGTACGTGTTGAATTATCGCCCGACAAAGTGATCGTGCTGGATAGATATCAGTTGGATCGCAGACGAAACATTTCCATTTCTCGTCGTCCTCTATTTTCTTTGCTATTACTGCGTCAAAATTTCTCTTGACACATTTCGAACAAAATGTGTTACTACAGTCGGAACAACAGTAGAGATTTCCACCATTGGCACACCATCGACAAAACATATCGGTCTGATCGTCCCCTGCAAAATGAATTCAATTTCAATGTGGAAAATCCATTTGCGAATTAAAGTGAAACATTTAAATACATTATTTCAATTGAATCAATTAAATTGAACTGAAAATATTATCAGGGTTGCCACGCTTTTGCTCTTTTTAAATTCCCTGACTTTTCCAGGTTTAAAAACGTAATTTTTCCAAGCTTTTAAAACTACATTTATATTTTACCAAATTAAATATCTCCCTGATTTTCAGACTTTTCCCTGATTTACAGACAAAACTTTGACTTTTTCCCTGATTCTAAAGAATATTCTGATTCACTTGCAAAATGATTAGATACACACAAAAAATGTTCTATTACATTTATTTACGAATTTCTTCAATTGTAAAATTATTCGAAAACATCAATAACTTCATTTTTTTAAAAATATGTAATCATTACTATTTTTTCATAGAAATTAAGATTTTAAACAATTTGAAATTCAATAACATATAAAAATATTATTATAAAACATGAAGATATCGATTCATGTTTTCTTCATGTTTTATAATAATAATTAAAAGTTGCTACTTTGTTACTGTAACTTCTTCAAAAATTATTTTCATCATTCCGATTATTCATTTTTAGAATTTTCAACTAATATTCTTTTTTAAGTCAATTTTTTTAAATAATTTTTGAAAAAGTTCTTTGTGAATATTTAAATTGTTTTGTTTACAATTTAATTTTACGAAATTTCGATTATTCTGAAATTCTTCAATTAAATATATTAGAAACTAAAAACTTCAAATAATTAAAATAAATTCCATTAAACTTATTGAGAAAAATTAATTCTATAGAATTCTTAATTAAAAATATGAAAAGTTCAAATTTTCAAAGATTTTGTTTTGAAATTCATTTTTAAATCAATATTTATTAGAAAATTCTACGAAAATTCAATTATTTGACTATAAAAATAAATATTTTATTAAATAATTGAATGTTTTTGCTTCCTCGTGAGGAAGCTTTGTAGTCGTTTAATTTACAAAATTTTTAAAAATCCTTTTAACAAATTTTCTTCTATATGGGACTATGTTATATAAGACCCTGAACAATTGTCCGGATGTGTGTGTGTGTGTGTGTGTGGATCCCGATTTTTGTGAACACGATAACTCGAAGAGGTTTTAACGAATTTGGCTAAAATTTACCAGGTATATTTATCCTAAAAATATCTCGAAATGGATTGATAGACTTTAAAAAATTCTCAAAAAAAAAAATTTTTTTGACTTTTTTCTAAAAAAAATTTTTTTTCAAAAAATTTTTTTTAAGTTGGTTATTGAAGTTAATAAATAATAAAATCTTATTCTTTGCATCAAGACGAATCGATTGGTATATAAAAAGTATAAATTGTATGAGAATTTGCAGAGTTAATCACAATTAAAGCTGAAAAATTCGCGTTTTTATCAAAAAATGAGTGCTTTTCGCAAAATTATGTTGCCGTATAAGAAAATCTTACTCATTTATTTCTAAAATCTTATTCTTTGCACCAAGACGTATCGATTGGTATATATAAAGTATATATTGTATTTAAATTTATAGAATTAAAACCAATTATAGACAAAAAATTTGCACTTTTAATAGAAATTCATTTTTTCTTAAAAATCATGTTGCTGTACAATAAAATGTTATTATTTATTGAAAAATAAATCAAAAATCTTATTCTTTGCATCAAGACGAATCGATTGATGTATATAAAGTATATCATCTATTGAAAAATATAGAATTAATTACAATCAAATTTGAAAAATTCACTTTTTTACTAAAATTTTTTTTATTTATTTAGATTCATATATCATATTACTGTTTAAGAAAATTTTATTCTTTCTATTAAGACGAATGCACTTTATTTTATAAATGTTAAATTGTATTAAAAGTTATTTAAAAATTAAATATTCTTATTGTTAATGCTTCCTCCACGAGGAAGCAAATTTTTTTTGCTGATCGTAAAGAGGAAGCAAAATGTTCATATAATGAACATCTGGATTTACAACTTGTTTAAAATTGAATTTTCATAAAAAATTTTATCAACAAATTTTTAAATGATTAAATTCTCTTGACAAATTTTAATAACATTTTTAAGAATTTTTCTAATCAGTAAATTGTAGCAAAGGTTATTAAAATAATTAAATTTCTTTGATAAATTTTAATAAAATTTTTATGAATAATAACTTTTCTCGAGGAATTTCATTAAAATTGTATTAAAAATAATTGAAATTCTGCAATGAGTTTTATTATTTATGAAAATAATTGAATTATTGCAAAGAATTTTATACAACAGTTTCAAATAATTGATTTTTTTCAAAAAAATTTGTGCGCAAATTCTATTTTTAACCATTGAATTCCTGTGAAATTTCCATTATTTTAGAAAATAATTGAATATTCGTGTAGAACTTTGTCAAAATTGTTTTTAAATAATTGAATTCTTTTGAGACATTTTATTAAAATAATAGATATTGAAAATCATTGAATCGATGAAATTTTTTGAAAATAATTGATATTTTGCAATGAATTTTATTAAAATTTTGAAATTAATTGAATTTTATTACTTTTGAAAAAAATTCAATTTTTGTGATGAATATTCTTCTTTATGAAAATAATTAACTTCCTTCGAATGATGTTATTATTTATGAAAATATTTAAATCCCTGAAAAATATTTTAAAATTTATGAAAATCATTGAATTACTGCGAAGAATTTAATGCCAAATTTTAAAACATTTGATTTTTCAAAAAAATTTATACAAATTCTAATTTAAATATTGAATTTCTGTGGAAATTTTATTCTTTTGGAAAATAATTGAATGTTCATGTAGAATATTATCAAAATTTTTGTTCAAAATTGAATTCTTTTGGAAAATTTTATTAAAGTAGTAGAATATTGAAAAAAATTGAATTAAGAAAATTTTTTGAAAATAATTGGAATTTTGTCATGAATTTTATTAAAATCCCTGAAAATAATTGAATTTCTCGGCAGAATTTTATCAAAATTCCTGAAAATAATTCAATTTTGTAATGAATTTTATTAAAATTACTGAAAATAATTGAATTTTGTTGAAAATTTTTATTAATTTTGAAAATAATTGAATTCTTGTGATGAATATTGTTATTTATGAAAATAATTGAATTCCTGTGAAATTTTTATTATTTATGAAAATAATCAAATGTTTGCGTAGAATTTTATTAAAATTTTTTTTAACTAATTGAATTCTTTTAGGAATTTTTATTAAATTAGTAGATATTAAAAATCATTGAATTGCGTAAAGGTTTTGAAAATAATTGAATTTCTGCAATCATTTGTAATTGCTTCAAAATTCAATTTGTTTTAGTGTTTTTAACTCAAATTCTTCTATAAATCCATTATTTTTAATAAAACTAGTTAAATATATATTAAACAATTTTATTAATATCAGAAGAATTTTAGTTTTCAAAATTTTTTTTAAATCCAAGTTTTTTTTTATATTTCTAATTAAATTCATTTAAAATTGAAATTCTACAAAATTTCAAATTAAAATCTTTTGAAGTTCATCTACTTATAAAAAGTGTAAATGCAACTCTTTTAAAATTGAATTAGTTTTGAAATATTTAAGTAAAATTTGATTTTAAGAACAAATACAATAACTTTAGAAAACAACAATTTTTCAGGATTTCGATCAAAATTCACTGACTTTTTCAAGGTTTTCCAAGGTTTTTAAAATTCCCTGACATTTCCAGGTTTTCCAGGTTTGCAGGTTGCGTGGCAACCCTGATTATTTCATAATTAAAATTTAAAGATTACAAACTTTACCTTGCTCAAAGTCTCCATCGCCGTAAAATTCGTAGCATTTCAAGCACAAGAGAGTTCGTAATTTTGGATGTTCAAACATATTGGTAACTTGTGCGGGGGCCGATCCAAGGTGAATATCGCAGCCTGTGCAGTGAACTCTCGAGAATCGGACTGATGATATGTCTGTAAATAAACACGAGAAATTAATATTTGTAAAACTAAATTCGAATTTTGGTCTTTCCTTTTCCCTAAAATTGAAATAAAATACATTCGTTCTTGTTCTCATATTTTTATTTTGTTTTTTTACAAATACTTTATTAACTTATCAATTTTTATTAAATAATACTATTTTTATTACATCTTACCAATGGCTGCACTTGAACTTTTTGAATTCTCGGTAAAATTACTTCTCTCATTTTTAATTTCACTAGGAGTATTTTTCGATGATTCAGAAATATCAGCATTAGATTCTATTTCTTCAAAAAAATTTTCCGTTTGCCCCAATTGATCCATCAATCCTTCAAAGGAACTAAGAAACAAACTTTTATCCAAAGGCCAAATACCTTGATTTCTAAAACCAAGCGAAATAGTTTCATCTTCTTCATTCTCTTCTTCATAAATTTTCAGTAACAAATTCAGGTAGACTTTCAAACTAATAGGTTGTTCAATGTTGTCACGACACCAATTTTTGACAGTCAAATTGTATATTGTGATGAAAGATTTGACAAGTGTCATTAAAATTGGTTGTAGATGCATTGTTTTATAAGTGGGAACTTGAATTAAAATAATTCCACTATTAATCGCTAATTGTATACTTTTATAGTATTTACATTTGGAATTATTTCCATCGAGATATAAAATAACTTTCCTCTCCGGCGTGACTTTGGAATTTACTATAAAACTCTCCAACCAATAGGCAAATAATTTATATGTTAATTTACCCATTTGAGAGGTTACAATAAAAAATTGTTTCGCCAATTCGGAATCATTTTTCAAACTATTGCTTTCTGGTGATTCATTCAAGATTATCATTGGATTCTGCGTACGACAACCTGTGGCATTCACGCAATAAATCAAGAGAAATTGATTCGCCAATTTTGTAACTTCCAAATAATAAATTCTCGTCGAGTCAATATTGTGATTATTGTAAATTTTCGTGAATGTATTAAAGTAATCATTCATTTTTCCCAATAAATACTCCTTTGTCGAAGGTGATTTTAAACATTTTTTATTTTTTTCAATAAACGATTTTTCACAAACTTTTCCAACTTCACCTTTTTGAGTCCACTTGATGTTGTATTCTAAAAGAATTTCATATTTCAAATTTTTTATATCAATGTCTTCCACGTCGAACATACCATTTTGTAAATAATTTATGCTGGCAATTAATTTTTCCTCAATTTTTGCCTTTGTTGATAAATTAATTTCTGATAAAGTGGAAAAAGAGTTCGGGGCACTGTCACTTTTATTCTTTTCGTCTGTTAAAAGTTTCATGAATTTTGTTCTCGAAATACCACTTAATTCATGTGCTTCCTTAAAGGAATATTTTTTGTTCCTGTACAATTGAATAATGTTTCGAATTTCTCTTTCTTCTTGTTCTTCCAACGTAATTTCGGTTTTCGTCTCGTTAAACGCATCGTAATTGTTTAAAAAATGTCCGTTTTCAATCAAATCCATTTTTTAAATTTCTCTTTTAAATTATCTTACAATTAGTAAAATGTATTTTTTTTCTTTTTTTTCTCTTATTGTTGACACACTGTTCTTCTAGAATATTCTCGATTACTTTTCGTTTTTATCTCGAAGTATTCATTTCACAAAGTTTTTGAAAATCCACTCACAGCATCTAAAAAATAAAATAGATATTTGCTTTTGAAAATGAGAAAAGTTTCAACATTGTAAATAAAAAAATGTATTTTTTGAAATATTTAGCAAATGAACAATTTTATTAATTAACCACAGTAAATTTAAATAAAACAAAAGCAAAACGTATTTTTAAGAAAAGAATATTAAAATTGACACTAATTGTTTGAACACTTGAGAAAAAAACAAAAATTTTACCATTTTTTTATCCACTGGAAATCTATTCACTATTTTATAAACGAATTTCATGTTTGAAAGAACTTTGTGACAGAAATCAAATATTATTTACAAAAGAGCAGAAAGATAGGTATAACAAAAGTTGTTTTCGTTTTTTGAGGTTAGAAACTCATTTGTGAAATGAAATTAAGCGCAAGGCGGTGAAAAAGCCTACAGGGTTGTGCAGTGACGCGTCACTCAAGGATTTTGACACGAAATTATTCATTTTCTATATTTACATTTAAAAAAAAAATCTCCTTAAATATTTATAAAAGAATAGTCTTGAATTTCTATTCTGTTAATTAGATAAACAAATAGCGAATTAGAGTTAAAAACTATACAAACATAATTTACAAAAAAAGTTGTAAATTATCAAAAATTCGTTAATTATTAGGGAAAAACAAAATAGGATAAATTATCAAAAATTTAATTAACAATATGATAGAATATTGATTTCTATTACCTACCTGTTTAATTATTTTCTTCTAAAACTTGTTTCAAATCACTTCATTGTCACTTTGCTTCATTTTTGCAAAATATGTTTTTAGCGTAGTTTAAAAATTGTTTTTGTGTTTAAAAACATTTTTGTTTAATATTTGTAATATTTTTATAATTTTATATTTATATTCTTATAATTTTAGATTTAAAAATAATTGTATTTATAAACATTTTCGATATTAAAAATTAAACCAGTGTGATAAGCATTTAATAAGAGGAAATTTGACAGAAAAAATACATCACGATAAAGATTATAAACATTTTCGTTAAAATGGTAAATGATTTAGATAGTTAAATATTTGAAATAAACCAAATTCATTACTAGGAATGTCTTTTTTTTACAATCAGTAGAAAATATAAATTATAATTTTGTGCAAGAGTTTGAAGTCAAATGGAACGTAAATTAGTTCGCCAATATGATTAACTTATTTAGTGGAACAAGTACACAAACAATTTATAGAGACCACTAATTTTTTTGGTAACAAACATTATTTTGTTTCCAAATATTCTAAGGAGAATTACTTTCGGAAAATTTGTTATACTCATTTGACTCATTTTAATTTCTATTTTATTCTTTTATTAGGAAACTAAGGAAACTATTTTGTAAATTAGATTTTGACAGTAAAGTTCATATTTAGAATAGAATTTTTTTTCATTAAATTATGAAATGATCAATTGAAAATGATTATATCTTTAAAAAATACGAAATCACAAAAATACCACCTGACAACAGTTGGTTAACAACGAACAAAGAAATACGTTTTATAATTATTAAATAAGAATTTTAGTGGTAAATTAAAATGTAAAAACCCACCTAGACCATACATCATTGAGAAGTAGTTGTTTTCCTCTTGAGAATACGGTTTCACGGGAGGTGATGGAGCCCTTGAAAATGTCGCACTGGGTGTTACTGGAAAAAAATAAAGGTTAGGATTTTTGTCTCTTTCATGTTAAAAGGTCATTTATTATTGAAAAACTTACAATTTTCCTTGATGTCGGGCTCGTTCACCTCGTTCACTTGCACCTCGAGCATGCTTGCGATATCCATGATGATGATGATTTAATGTAAATTTACACGAAAAGAATCTTTCAAAATAGAGAAGACGACACCGCCATTGCCGAGGAGAGTGACCGGTCGAGTATGTGCATAACTTGCACAAAATCAAGACGTTTAGATTTAAGGCACATTTATGTTCTTCTCTTTAATAATGACACACAAACGTACGATCAGTTCATACATTATCCTCGAAATGGTTCAAACACGAACCCCGATAAAAAAAAACCTCAACCACACTCACAATTCCACTGAAACTTCTGCTTTCAAGCGCGAAACTGATTTTAATGAAAATCTCACAATGCAACTGCGCATTCAAGAGAGTTTGCGCAAAAAAGAGGCGCGAACTAGAATGCTTTGAAAAGTTGTATTGGATTTTTTTTTCCAAAATATATAGTTAATTAAGAACTTGAAACTATATTATAAAAGATGAAAATGTGATTTTCAGGAATGCCATGGGGCTTTATACAATAGTTTTTGATCATAGATGGCAAACGTGTCAATGGCTACGAATTCTCTACTTCTGCGCAGCAATTTGCGCATTATTTCTTAGATACAGCGGGAAGAAAATTTATTTACAAATGGCTTCTTGAATTATTTCTTCTTAAATTCTTTGACTATATCACTATATTTACAATGCAGGACAAAGAGGATAATTTTGATAAAAATACCAAAAAATTGACGGAAGATATTCAGAATATGGAGAATTACAAAAGTCTCTATAAAGAATTACAGGTTAGGTTTCATTCATTTCATTATTTTTAAGCACTGAAAATATGTAAACAAAAATATTAATTTGACACAGAAATTGGTCGCATCGAAATCTGTCCAAAAGGAAGATTTCCGAAATTCTCTACTTGATGCAATAAAGGCAAATGGACTCGAATCGGAAATACGAAATACGGTTTTTCATTGGGCTCGCTCGAAGGTGAGTTTTATTTTCAATGTTAATTAGTGTCAATTAGCAACAAAAAAGGTTTCGCACAAAAATTTTATCTTCATTCCAAGTTGAAATATTGTAAACAAGTGTTGGAATTACGCCAAAAGGATTTTTCCGATAAATATTCAAGTTGGAAAATTCCAAGTGGAGTAGGGAAAATTGTTCCTAAAATGGCGTATATTTTTTATATAAATTTTCATTTTTTCCTTATATTTACAATTAGTGGATATTTTAACTAGATCTTTGAAGAAAATATTGAAAAAAATGCAAAATGTTTCGGTATAAAATTGAAAAGAATCTCAAGTTTCATTTTCATCGGAAATAACAAAATGCATCTGGTTCTGATATTCCCATTTGCCAGAGAACGATTTCTCCCACTATCATGTGACATATTTTGCGCGTCACTTGGCGTGCGCAGCGACCCCGGCTGGAGGGTCTCTGGCAAACGAGGGCATAAAACGTGGCATCAAAAATGGCGGAAATCGGAGAATATGCGAGTGAAACCGACGCTTCAGCCTACTTTGCGCTGAACGGACGCCATGACTGCAATCATGACAAGCAACTTTTCACAATTGCGCAAGCGTACCTTGATAGACGCGCCAAAGCAGTTGCGCAGTTTATTAAACTCGAGAGGGATTTAGTTGGTTTTTTTAATTCCTTCACTAATTATAGGGAAATTTTACAAAAACACGAAATTTACTTCAATTTTCAACTTTTACGATTTGTAAATGGATCATTTAAACTCATGCCACTGTAGAGATCACAATTATCCGAAAGTTGCTAAAAATAGTTAAATATTGTTAATTTTATTTAAGAATAAAATTTTGAAGTGGGCCCTTTTTGCGGACAAAATGGGGTTTCCATTTATTTACTACCAATATAACCTCTAAATTCTAAAATTTTTATTCTAATTCTATTCTAATTTTCCTAATTTCTAAACGTATCAGTAAGATAAAATATATTTATAATAAAAATAGAAAACCGTTTGTTTTCAAAGGGGCCACTGCAGCCAAAAATAGAGACACCAATTGGCGATGCTGATTTGAGTTATTTGAAGAAAACGCAAATTCAATGGGAACGGAGAATTCAAAAATCTTTAAATTCCATGTGCAATGAACTTAATGTCCCATTGGCCCGGATTCGTCCCAATTCCGAAAGGGAACAGTTGTTGGAAAAGTGGAACGAACTTAGTACCTACGACATCGGTAGACGCGCAGCTTTTTTATTTACAAAAAGTTAATTTTGATTTCTATAATTTTATATGTAACGAAAAAAGTAAAATTTTTCAGATTTATCGCAATATAGACCTCTGTATGCTCCGAAGGACTTTTTAGAAGTTTTATATTCAATACGTGATCCGGCATTCAAAAAGCAACTGTAAGATAATTTTCCGACTCCTGTACAAAAAAACTCAATTTTTTTTTTCAATTTTCATTCTCTATTTTTGACGTTACGAAGGGAAAAAAAGCAAAAATTTACAGAAATAATTATTTTCGATTTTATGCGAAATTTCATGTTTATTAAATAAGAAGGAAGGACGGAAGCAAAAACAAATTTATAGGTTATGTTTACAATCGGCTTTCGTCAAAAGATTGTAAAGATAACCTATAAATTTTGATTTTTTAAATCCCGTTCCTTTGTGTCGCGATGACAGTTTCTTTTTGTAAAATATTTGTTTTTATATTAGAAATGAGCCGAATTGGGAATTCAGTCACATACAAATTAGAGTGAAAACTTTGGAGGAATTGGTGAGTATAGAGAAATGTATATTTATGAAAGAAAAAAACCATTTATTATGCTTTATAATAATTAAACTTTTATGCAATATAGAGAGCCATATACACGGATATTGCCGATGGAGCACCATTATTGGGTGTTAATCCGAACATGCCAGCAATTGGAAATTATGCAACTTACGAAGACGAAAGAACTGAATTGGGAGAAAAAATTCTCAAGTCAAATCACTCGCCACTTGCTCAGGAATTTTTAAAACGCGGATGTCCAATTGCATTGAGAAGTCGAATTTGGTCGTTAATTTTGGGAACAATCCTCAAGGAGAATGTATAATTTAACAATCGAATTTTTCTTTTATTTTCTATACTCTAAATCTAAATTCCATTCTAAATCGAATATCTTTTCTTTTTTATTATAATTTCTTTTCTGAATTGAATTTCTATTTCTTTTATCAATTTCTATTTGAAGTTGAATTTAAATTTTTAATTGAATTTCTATTTGGAATCGAATTTTATATTTTTTTATCAGTTGCTATTCTGAATCACAAAATTTTGAATCGAATTAGTATTTTTCAATATTAATTTCTACTCTGAATCAAAATTTTTAATCCAATTTATATTTTTTTATAAGTTGCTATTCTGAATCAAAATTTTGAATCGAATTTCTATTTGAAATCGAATTTGTATTTTTAATAATTATTAATTTCTGTTCTGAATCAAAATTTTGAATAGAATTTCTATTTCTTATTATTAATTTCTGTTCTGAATCAAAATTTTAAATCGAATTCCTAATCGGAATCAAATTTTTATTTTATTATTAATTTCTATTCTGCATCAAAATTTTGAATCGAATTTCTATTCGGAATTTGTATGTTATTATTAATTTTTATTCTGAATCAAAATTATGAATCGAATTTCTATTTGGAATCGAATTTGTACTTTTTATTATTAATTTCTGTTCTGAATCAAAATTTTGAATAGAATTTCTATTTTTTATTATTAATTTCTGTTCTGAATCAAAATTTTTAATCGAATTTCTATTCGGAATCGAATTTTTATATTATTATTAATTTCTATTCTGAATCAAAATTTTGAATCAAATTTCTATTTAGAATCGAATTTGTACTTTTTATTATTAATTTCTGTTCTGAATCAAAATTTTGAATAGAATTTCTATTCGAAATCGAATTTCTATTTTTTATTATTAATTTCTTTTCTGAATCAAAATTTTTAATCGAATTTCTATTCGGAATTGAATTTGTATTTTATTATTATTATGCAAATTACAAAATTTTTTATTTTCAAATATGAATTTTTGAATAATTTCAGATTCATCTTTTAAAAAATTCAATTATTAACTAATTTACTAATTAATTAATCTTGTTTATTAATTTTAAAAATTTTAATAAAATTCTTCGCAATAATTCAATTATTTTCATAAATAATAAAATTCTTCGTAAGAATTGAATTATTTTTACAAATATAGTAAAATTGTTTGCAAAAATTTAATTATTTTGAAACAAAATTAAAAAAAAAATATCACCAATGAATAAAATTACTTTCTAAAATTTTAATAACTTTTTAATAAAATTCTTCGTTAGAATTAAATTATTTTCATAAATAATAAAATTCTGCGAAGAAACTCAATTATTCTGAAATTTTTTGACAAAATTATTTGCAAGAATTCAGTGATTTTCTAATACATTAATTTTAAAAATTGAAAATATTTAAAAAGAATAATTATTAAAAAAGTTAAAAAGCAAAAAAAAAAACAACAACTAACTTCAAACTGAGAATAGATTACCAGAATACAACGATTATTAATATAGATTTTTATTCTGAATCAAATAATTTGGAATCGAATTTCTGTTTTATTCGGATTTATAATTTCTCTTTTTATATTACTCGATTTTTCCCAGGATATTGAATACTACAGCGAATTAAAAGGATTGGTTGCTCAGTATGATATAATGGTGGATAAATTAATCATTAAGGTGAGTCAGGTTTTCTAAATTTGAAAATTAGCAGAAAACTAAAAAAAAATCTGAACTAAAAATACTAATTGCTAATTGCTATTTCAGGACGTTCAATTAACGGCTAGAAATGATGATCAATATTTCGTATTTGAAGACATTTTATATCAAACAATGCTTTGTTTTTCGAGGGATTCGGAAGTTTTGGCACCTGTCACAACGGATCGAAGCGCAGGTGGTCAAGTTATTCACGCCGTTTTGCAAGGGAAACCGACGACTTTGGAAAATACTTTAGTTTTCCCACCTAGTGGAGTTATTCCGTTTCATGGTTTCACAATGTATGGTTAGTGCAAAACAAAAGTCTCTATTGACTATTGAATATTGTTCAAACTTCAAATTAACGAATGTATAATATTGACTATGACAGATGTCAAAACATCTGAATTACTCTCTTCTGCTAAATGAAAAGTCGACAATCGTAATAAAAAAGAAAACAATTTTCTCTCCAGGAAGTCCATTTTGCTACTTGTATGATGATCCTTGCGCAATGTATTACACATTTCGTGCATTTTATTTGCGTTATTGGTTTCGCCTTCACACTGTATCGAGTCACGGACAGGGAATCGTTGCTCTTTGTCTTCTCTTCGAGAGACTTCTGCAGTGTCACGAGCCTCAACTTTGGGCGCATTTCAAAAATATTCACATTCATCCGTAAGTATTACGAGATTTAAAAAATCGAAAATATCCGTGAAGTCTATAATACTGGCTTCGCACTTATCTACTAAAACCTACTATTTACTACTTTTTTATGTTATGCTACTATTTGGATACTTTTTTTAGATTTTAGCCACTAAAAGCTACTATTTCTGTTTTTTGCTTAGAATTCCCATTAATTTAAATTCGCTAATACTCTAAATCAAAAAACTATTCTTAAAAATTGTAATCGAGTTCTTTAAAAAGATTCAATTATTTTCAAAAAATATTCGAAATTCAATTATTTTCAATATCTAGTATTTTCTTCAAATTTCGCAAAAGAATTCAATTATTTAAAAAAACTGATAAAATTCAATTATTTTCATAAATAATAAAACTCATCAAAGAATTTCAATTATTTTTAATAAAATTTCTCGAAAGAATACAATTATTATTAAAAATATTATTTAAATTCATTTATTTTCAAGAGTTTTAATAAAAATTCAATTATTTTCAACAATAATTCTGATCGAAAATTCTTCAAAACAATTCAATTTTTTTTTATAAATTGTAAAATTCTTGGCTATAGAATTCAATTACTTTTGTAAATAATGAAATTCATCACAGAATTGCAATTATTTTTAAAAGACTATTTTAAATTAATTAATCGAAAAATTCAATTATTTTCACAAATAAAGTTTTCCACAAGAATTCAATTATTTAAAATAAAATTTTCATAATATTTATTATATTTCGAAAAAAATAATTATTTGAAAGAATCTTTATAATATTTTTATACAGAATTCAATTATTTTCAAAAATAACAAAAATTTTCACAGAAATTCAATTCTTTTTAAACATTTTAATAAAGTTTTTCGCAATAATTCAATTATTTTCTTAAATAATAAAATTTTTGCAATAATTCAATTATTTTTGAAAATTTTATCGAAATTCTTTGCAATAATTCAATTATTTTTGAAAATTTTATCGAAATTCTTTGTAACTATTCAATTATTTTCATAAATAGTATAATTCATAGCAGAATTTTCATTATTTTTAATACTATTTTACAGGAATTGATCAAAACATGTAAGAACATTTTATTATCATTAAGAATTTAATTTCAATTCCTCAAAAAAATCAATTATTAAAAAAAAATGATTTTTTAAAATTTTTTTGGAAGATTTCAATTATTTACAAGCATATTAGAATTTTTCACAGGAATTCAATTATTTTCAAATATTATAATAAAATTGATCGAAAGAAATCAATTATTTTATATATGCAATTTTAATTAAATTTTTTTTGAAATAATTCAATATTATTCTTTTAGATTTTAATTAAATTCTTATCAAGATTTCAATTATTTACATAAATAATTCTTCGAAAGAATTTAATTATGTCGATAAATAACAAAATTATTCCCGAAAATTCAATTATTTTGAGGCATTTTAATAAAATTCTTTGCAAAATTCAATTATTTTCATAAATAACAATATTCATCACAAGAATAACAATCAATTGTTTTTAAAGTAATAAATTTCTTCCTGGAAATTCCATTATTTTCAAAAATTCTAATAAAATCGTTTGCAAGAATTCAATTATTTTCATAAATAATAAAATGCTTTTTAGGAATTAAATTATTTTCAAAAATTTTAATAGAATTCTTTGTAAAATTTAATTATTTTTAAAAACTTTTCGCAATTCAATGATTTTCAATATCTACTATTTTCATAAAATTTTCAAACAGAATTCAATTTAAAAAAAAATTTTTTTTAATCTTTGTAAGAATTCAATTCTTTTCATGAATAATAAAAATTTCTTAGGAATTCAATTATATAAATTAGAATTTGCATAAAATTAGTGGAAAGAAATCAATTATTTAACAATTTTTATAAAATTCTTCACTCACAAGAATTAAATTATTTTTATAATTATATTTAAATTCTTTCATAAATAATAAAATTCGTTGCAGGAATTCAATTTATTAGCAAGATAAGAAAGAAAGAAATATTTTTGATGACAATTAGGAAAAAGTCAGGAAAATAAAATATAGAATGGAATTTTTGTCAGTTTTGTGAAGTGTCTAAAACGAGTATTTTTTGGTCTTCAAGTTTAATTTTTCGATAGCTACTTTTTTTTACTACTTTTTCAGTTTAAAAGCTACTTTTTGCTACTTCTTTAAATTTCATTATCGAGTGCGAAGTCTGATAATAAAAAAAAACCGAATTTAAATCTATGAAAATATACAGATTTCCGAATTTAAGTCTAGAGAAAACGAATTTAAATCTATAGAAAAATTTTCGAATTTCAGAGTCAAAATTGTATTCAAATGGTTGATGAGAGGATTCAGTGGTTACCTACCACCGGAGCAATTACTATACTTGTGGGATTTGATTCTGGGCTATGATTCCTTGGAAATTATTCCACTCTTCGCCGTGACGATTCTAAGTTTCCGGAAGGAAAACATAATGCAAGTTAACACATTAAGCAATGTTGAGGTAATTTTTAATTGTTATTTTTCAGTCGAAACCCCTGTTGCATGTTTCAACACCATACCGAGCTGTCTTACTGTTTGCTTTTCAAATCCTAAATCTATTTAATTATAAATTCTGTCGCTGTTCCTATTTATAATTTTTTAATTCTCTCAGTAGTTGAGTTTCGAAAAAGTACCAAAAAATATATTCTTTTCAATTTTAGGCAATTTTGGCAGATCTTTCATCTCTAAAAGTGATGCCCTTAGTACAATTAGTTCTTCTAAAGGAATAATCCACCAAAAAAAAGTAAAATGGATTCTTCGTAACTACAAACTACAATTTTTATAATTTTAGGAAAAATATACATGTAAACAATAATGTAAAGACTGGCATTAATCTTCCTGATAAATATTTACATACCCTAAATTTTATCGGTAGTTTACCAGCAAAGCAGAAAATGTCGATCAAAACGAAATTCTCTTCTATACGTTTACCAAACGAAGGTTTTTTGAAATGAAATTACATTTTGTGGTATTGTAAATGTGCGGCACGTGTCGGTGATTTTCCTTCGGAGTTGGGTTCGAAACTATAATTCGAGGGTGGGGTTTATCGCACGTGGGACAAGGAGAGTTGCGATTTTCCCATTGTTTTAGAAAAGGACAGAGAACGTGTCTCTAAAGAAGGGGAGGTTTCCCGTTTCCGGCTGTCATCCCGACAGACGCCTGCCACTACCCGTGTGTTTATATACTGCTTTTTTTTACTGAATTTTCAAATCATTTCTACAATATTTGTCAACAGTGTGCCATTATTGTTTATAACTAATAATTCGTGAGTATTCTTAATTATTAAACAATATTAATTGCACGTAAAATTTTCATCTTCAACATTATTGTATATTTGAAAAATTTTACTCAGTGTTAGTGTTAGAAACTAAGGGTGGGGTGCCACCCTCACCCCCCCCCCCAAAAAAAGAAATTATTAGTCATGCAGTTTTTCCTCCTGCCGGCTCTGTTAATTCTTAAAAGCTTCAAATTTTATTAGTATTTTATTACATGAATTTCTTTATTTTTTAGGGTGTTTTATTAAATAATAAAACACCCTAAAAAATAAAGAAATTCAATAGATTTTCGGATTTTTTCCACAAAAGAAAGAATCTATTTTTAAATATTTCCCAAGGAAAGTGTTTTATTTTTTTTTTATTATTCCCCTTTTTACAAACTATTTTTGTATTGTCTTTTTTTTAATTGTGAGGGTTTATAATTATTACAAGGTTCTTATTTTCAATACATTTTTTTTTCCAATTCCTTGTGAACTATATTAAAAAGAAAATAAATGCAAATAGATTAACAAACCGGTTTCTGGAAACTTAACACCAAAATAATGTTTATGCTTGAATTGGGTAAAAATAGGATAAATGTTTCAATTTATGTTGGAAAAAAAATTGCGAGAATTTTATATATTTTACATAATATTTAAAAGGAAATAAATTGAAGGTCATGGTCACTAAAAGGATTGAAGTGAACTTATTCACGTGTAAATTTACTTACATAATAATATCGATTTCTTTTGTATTGGAAGAAGAAAACTAAGCAGATGATTTTAATTATGAATTATCAAAATTGGAATTTATAATTAAATATCTACCAATTTAATGCGTCAGAAATCCTTTTTCTTTCCATTCTTTTGTTTTATTAGTTTAATTATTTATTTGTTTATTTATTTTTCTTTTTTTAAGCTTTCTTTTTTATTTGTTCAGCCGAGATTGGAGCAACAATGTATATTTTTAATTAAAATCTGAAGTATTTAAAAATTTTGTCTTCAAATTTTTTTGATTTCAAGTTTTTTGAATTTTAATTTCTAAATGTTTTCAAATTTTTTCCAGATTACATGAATCAAGAAAGAGAGTGCTAGGCTGTAAAAAGTGGAAATCGCAACATGGCTTGGCGGTTTAAGGCATCGAAATACAAAAATGCTGCGCCTATTGTACCAAAGCCAGAATCCTGCATCCGCGATATTTTCGTCGGATCGTATCAAACATACGGCAATAATATTGCAGCTTCCGCCGCTTTTATGGCATTCAATGTCGACCACAATGGTAACTCTTTTTTTCTTTTTTGAAGACTTGTCAAACGTATTTTGAATTTTGATTATACATTTGGTATTCAAGTTAAATTAAATTCTACAAATTTTGTGTAATTTTGCTTGCCTTAGAGACGAAAGATTGTATTTTTTTATTAATTTTCTAATTTAATGAATTAAGTTTAATTAAAATGTCTTTATTTAATAGGATCTAGTCTAGCAGTGTTGCCGTTAGAAGATTGCGGTAGAAAAAGCAAGACGATGCCTTTATTGCACGCCCATGCGGATACAGTAACTGACATGGACTTTTCACCGTTTCATGACGGTTTACTTGCAACTGGTTCTCAGGATTGTCTTGTAAGTGCAACAGAAAGACCGTTTATTTGACAAATGAACTGAAATACGACAAATGAACGAAAAATGCGACAAATTAACTACAAATGCGACGAAGGAACTAGAAATGCGACGGAGGAACTGAAATTACGACAGACAAACTAAAAAATACGACAAAAGAATTAAAAATACGACAAATTTGGTAAAATACGAAAAATTAATTTTTCTTAATTCTAACAATAGGTGAAATTGTGGCACATTCCGGAAAGTGGACTGGAGGAATCACTTTGCAATCCCGAATGTACATTTTCCCATCGACAACGACGAGTCGAAGTGGTTCGTTGGCATCCCACAGCAGAACATCTTCTAACTACCGTCTCCTACACCAATCTCTCCCTTTGGGACGTTCTTTCTCAAAAAGAACTTTTCTGTACGTTTTTATTATTTTCTTTTATTAGAAATGAATTTTTTATCGAACATTAATTTCTAAATTGATTCTATAAATCCAGGGTTGCCACGCAACCTGAAAACATGGAAAAGTCAGGGAATTTTGATCGGAATCCTGGAAAATTATTGTTTTCTAAAGTTATTCTGGTTATTTTTGAAATCTAATTTTTCTTAAATATTTCAAAATTAATTGAATTTTAAAAGAGTTGTGTTTACAATTTTCATAAATAGATAAACTTCAGAAGGTTTTAATTTTCAATTTTTAATGAATTAAATAATAAAAATTTCACTGGAATTCTATTATTTACAAAATATTATCAATTATAAATTATTTCCAATACAATGTTAATAAAATTTCTGTAAAAATTGAAATTATTCTTAAAAATTTTATTAAAATTTATCAAAAAATTAAATTATTTTCAAAATAATTTTAATAAAATTCTTTGTAGAATTTTAATTAATTTCAATAATTTATCAAGATTCAATTATTTTCAATATCTACTATTTCAATAAAATCTCACAAAAGAATTCAATTATTTAAAAAGAAATATTAAAATTCGTCTCAAGAATTTTCAATTATTTTAAAAAGTAATAAAATTCTTCGCAGAAATTCAATTATGGTCAAAAGATTTAAAAAAATTCTCTTCAAAATTTCAATTAACTTTATAATTAATAAAATTTTTCTGCAAAATTCAATTATTTTCAAAAATTTTAATAAAATTCTTGACAAAATTTCAATTATTTTCTATAACTTTTCTGAATTCAATCAAATTTTTTTTTACAGAGATTCAATTATTTTTAATACAATTTTAATCTAATTTCTCGAAAAATGAAATTATTCTTAAAAATGTTATTAAAATTCGTCAAATCTAATTGAAATCTAATTTTACTTCAATATTTAAAAACTAGTTCAATTTTAAAAGAGTTGCGTTTACAATTTTTATAAGTAAATTAACTTCAAAAGATTTTAATTTACAATTTTGTAAAATTTCAATTTTAAATTAATTTAATTAGAAATTTTAAAAAACCTAGATTTTAAAAAAATTTTAATAACTAAAATAAATTGAATTTTGAAGCAACTACAAATGATTGCAGAAATTCAAATATTTTCAAAAGTAATAAAATTCTTCGCTAAAATTCAATCATGGTCAAAAGTTTGAATTTTTCATACTTTTAACTAAAAATTGTGTAGGTTTTATTTTTTCGAAAAAGTTTAATTGAATTTTTTTTAAGTTCTTTGAAGTTCTTATTTTCTAATATTTATTGAAGAATTTCGATGAAATTTCGTAAAATTGAATTGTAAACAAAAGGATTTGAAAATTTTCAAAGAAATTTTTCAAAAATTATTAAAAATAATTCATTTAGAGAAGAATTTTAGTTAAAAATTCTGGAAAATAATAATTGAATTGAAGTGATGAAAATAATGTTGAATAAGTTACAGTAACAATATTCTTATAATATAAAATAATTATTTTTTCACTCGCTTATTTTTAATTATTATAAAACATGAAGATAGCGATTGCTCCGAGGCTTCGACTCGGAGTGATCGATTTCTTCATGTTTTATAACAATTTTTTATAAGTTGTTTAATTTGAAAAAAGTTTGAATTTGTAATTTTTGAAAATCTTAATTCTTATGGAAAAATTAGAATTACTAATTATTTAATTTTGTAAAATATAAATGTAGTTTTAAAAACCTGGAAAAATTCCTTTTTTTTAACCTGGAAAAGCAAGGGAATTTGAAATGAGCAAAAGCGTGACAACCCTGAAATCAATTCTTCTGTAATTCTAAATTAATTTATAATTCTAATTAATTTCTAAAAAAAACTATAATTTATTGAAAATTCAAATTTTGAAAAAGTGAAAGAAACCCAACGTCAATATTATAAAGAACTCTGTTTAATTTTTTACAGCGACTACTGAGCATTCGGACGTGATACAATCCGTGAGTTGGAAGCAAGACGGCACAATGCTCGCAACATCTTGTAAGGATAAACAGATAAGAATTATTGATCCTCGAGCACCGAAAAATATCGTCAACTCATCGCCGAGTCACCAAAGTATAAAAGATTCGAGAATCGTTTGGCTGGGTAACGGCGATCGTTTATTAACCACCGGCTTTGATTCGGCACGACTTCGTCAAGTTTGCATTAGGGATTTGAGAAATCTCAATGATCCGATCAAAACTCTGGAGCTCGATTGCAGCACAGGGTGAGTGATAAAAAAAATGTTTGCAAAAAATTATTCATTTTTTGCTTTTTGTAAATTTTTTCCTTCCTCATGCGGAAGCTTTTTTAAAGCTTTTTTTAAAAAAAAAAAGATTATTTTTTTTTATCTTATAAAAGATAAATAGAAATTTTCTTCTATTTTGATGAGAAATAAATAATTCGCTTAATAAAAATAATCGATTTCTTTCTTAAACAGAATATTAATGCCTCTCTTCGATCCGGACACGAACATGCTTTTCCTGGCCGGCAAAGGTGATACCACTATTATTTATATGGAAGTAACGGAAAAAGATCCCTATCTCGTGGAGGGAATTCGTCACAGCGGAGAGCAAACTAAAGGTGTTTGCTTAGTGCCAAAACGAGCATTGAACGTGATGCAGGCAGAAGTTAACAGATTATTGCAGTTAACGTCGAATATGGTCATTCCCATTATGTATCAAGTTCCACGAAAAGTAAGATCAAATTTGATAACGTTTTCTCAATTTTTATGTTTTATTTTAATAAATAATAAAAAATACGAAAATATTAATATTTCTACGTTCATTTTATTAGGAAAATAAAATGAACGTAGAAATATTAATATTTTTGTATTTATTTTATTGTCGAAATAAAATCAATAAATAAATATACTCTCACGTTGTTTCTTTAAAATTGTCGAACTTTTTTTTCTGCTAATATTGTCATATTTTTCTGTATATGTAAAATTTTTTATTTAAAGTCCAATATTTGCATTTTTTCTGCTAATCTTATCATAGTTTGTTTTGTACATTTTTTTATTTAAAGAACAACATTTGCACTCAAATCTAAACACAGTTTATAATCAACTTTATGACCTTAAATAATTATTTACACTTTGACAATATTGATTATTAATAAAGGGTAAATAATTAGATCAGTAAATAATTAATATTGTAATTAAATAATTAAATTGTAAATAATTGCGAATGTTTTATATTTTAAACAAAAAATTAATTGTTCAAAAAATATGTCGATTTTACGAGGAAAAATTCAGTTTTGGCAATTTTAGAGGAGCAATGATAGAGAGATATTTTTTTGACATCCTGGTAAAGAAATAGTTATTAAAATTAATAAATATTCAATTTATTTATTAAATTATAATTAATTTATTAAATTTTAAAAAATTCTTTCAGACTTACCGAGATTTCCACGCGGATATTTATCCAGATACGACCGGTTGTGTTAGTAGTAACACCGCCGCTGCATGGATTAAGGGACATGATGAACAAGTTCCGAAAATTTCTCTGGATCCCTCCAAGAGAACAAAAGGCGAAGAGGCAATGACGGTAAGTTGATTTTGATCTGGAATTTGAAAACAAAATTAATAGCACATAAGGTAATGAATATTTTTGGCTACAAATTTTTTTCTAAAGTTTCGAACGTTTAAGTGAACGAAATATTTTTTTTTTTTTTGCTTCAATATTTTTGAAAATTACTCGACCGAAGGGAAAAATTCAGTAACTGAATATTTATTCAATCAAAAATTAAGTCTTTAATTATAAAAAAAAATATTTTGCAAATAAAATTCAAATTAAGAGAAGTAATAATTTATTTAGTTAAAAATTAAGTTTTTATTTACAAAAAGCAATATTTTGCATAACTAAAATTAATTTTTTATTTTTTAAATTTTTTTAAAAGAAGTACATATGTAGTAATTTATTTAGTTAAAAATTAAGGTTTTATTTACAAAAAACGATATTTTGCAAATAAAATTCCAATTAAAAGAAGTAATAATTTATTTAGTTGAAAAATAAGTTTTTAATTATAAAAAAACAGTAGTATTTTGCAAATAAAATTCAAATTAAAAGAAGTAATAATTTATTTAGTATAAAAATTATGTCTATGATTATAAAAAATAATATTTTGCAAATAAAATTTAAATTTAAAAGAAGTAATAAAAATATCGTCGTTCATGAGTCTTTGGAACTTTAGGATCGTGTCTACAACAAAAATATTCGTTTGTAAATTTTTTTAGTAGTAAAAAGTTAAGAATCGGACAGACGTTCAAAAAATGACTCTTTTTTTGAAATAGAAAATTTTTTGTTTTGATTGTTTATCTGATTCTTTCTTAAGAGACGATTAACAAAGATCTGAACGTTCAAATGCAGGAAATATTTTTTATTGAAAATATTTTCAATAAATTACTGTTTGCAATAATTAAATGTAAAATTAAAAATTTCTCTTTTACAATTACGAAAGTAGAAACTTTAATTATACAATTACGAAATTAAAAACTTGAATTTTACATTTAAAAAGTTTATAATTTTTTTCGAGTGTGACACAAAATTATTGCGATAAAAATTTAATTTGAGGAACAAATAAATAAATTTCGTTCGACAAAAAAAAAAACAGAAAAGAAATTGGAACATTCAGAACTTTAGGATTATCTTCAGAGGTTTTTCTTATTTGTATTTAAATTATGTTTCACATTTTGCATGATTTTGTAAATTCAGCTTCAATGTTTACTTTTAATGTATTCATAATATAAGATTTTCGCTTATTTATTAATCTCACATTTTTATTTTACTGCGTGTGGGTAATTGGTTGTATGTATCTGATTAGTGATATTATTTTATGTACATAATTATAAACACCGATGTTTTCGAAAATAATATTTAAATTATATTGTGTAAATTAACACAAAAAATTACAATAAGAGTAGCAAAAATAAAAAAAATTTACTAACTTTGAATAATATTTTCCGAAACATCTAAAATTACTTTATTAGTGTAATGTGCGTTTGTTTCTTTATTTTGTTTGCTTTCCTTCTGTTTTAGATTTAAGAAAAATTCAGTAAGAATTGTAAAACTGAGACTTATAATTTGTAAATAATTTGTATATTTGTACATTGTATGTTTTTCATTATTATGATTATGATTAGTCTTATGATTTTGATTATGATTAGTCCTATGATTATGATTAGTCTTATGATTACGATTAGTCTTATGATTCTGATTAGTCTTATGATTTTGTAAATATTGTGTTATTTTATTTCGTTGTGTATCTTCTCTATAAAAATACGCCTTCCTGTATAGAGTGTGAAAGCTAATTTCTATTTGAAAAAAACAAAAAAAAAAAAAAAAAAATTATGCCGCCAAATCACTGAGGAACTTAATTACGTTCAGGTACACAAAGGGAATTTATCATCGCTGAAAGATAATCAAGCGGAAATCAAAGTGGAGATGACTCGACAGCAAAAGTCAATTGCCATCACAGCGCCAAAAGGTTATTCGAAAGTGCAAGCCATCATTCAAGAGAAGGATCCAAAAATTGAAAAGTTTGCCGAAGAAATGGAGGAGGAGGAGGTAAATAAAATGGAGAAACCGGAGAAAACAGAAAAGCCAGAGAAGCCAGAAAAATTGGAGAAAACTGATAAGGAAGATGAAAAGTTTAAATTACAAAATGGTGCTCATCCAACGCCACCGAAACCATTGCCTCGTGCTTCACGTGCAAATAGTCTTTCTGAAGAGGAACCAAAACCTGTCGCACGTCCTCGAACTACTCCGAGTCCTGGTTCCGTGGTAACGTCCGTTAATCCAAACATTGTCGGAGGATACAAGGTTCGACTGAGGATACAATTTTTTTTGTTAAAATTTTTGCGTGTATGAATGTGTGATTCTTCATTCTAAATATTCCAACAATTTACATTTTTCTTTATTCGTTAATTATTCTATTCCAACAATTAAATTATTCTCTATTCATTAAATCGTTAATGTTAATTCTATCGCTGAAAATCTTTTTTTTTTTTGTGTCACAGCCTCGCCTAGGACCGAAACCATTCCAGGCGAAATCTGGTAACCAGGAATTCTCTTTCGATAAAGTATTTTCCGTGCCCGTGGCACCGACAAATGAAAATAATGGCTATTTAAATGACTGCAACATACAGACGGAGGCCAATTCAGAGAAGACTGATGCAGAAAAATCGCCAACTTTAGAGAATGATCGAGTGAAGGAGGTTGAAAATGGAAAAAGTGATTCGAGTTCCATAGAGGAGGACGCGAACTCCAGTGATTCTGGATATAAGCCAAAAACACCGAGTACTGCGGAGAGACGTAAATTGTTTGAGTCGAAAGTAAAAGATGAATCTCCTGAGAATGAGGATTCAGGGAATTTTGAGAGAGGAAACGTGAATAGAAATTCAATTGCCGAGAGAAGAAGATTGTATGAGAGTCGTTCGGTGTCAGTGACAGATGGCAATTTAGCGGAGAAGGCAATGGGATCGCCAACACCATTGAGACGAAGGGATTCCTTCAAGACGAAAAATGAAATTATCAAGGAGGAGGAAGTTAAGAAGAGTGTTCCAATTTTACGACAACAGAGCATGGATCCTAGGCTGGAGAAGCCTGAACCCACGCCTACTCCGAAACGAACATCTACTGTTTTCGGTAAATTGAATTTTGATAATTTGGTTTCATTTTTTGTTTACATGGTAAAAACGAAGAAAGTGTCTTTTTGCTACTTTTACAGTAAATACTAAATAGATACTTTTTTGCATTTCTGCTTTACAATTTTTGGTATTTTCAAGGTAAATTTTGTTACATTCGAAGTAAATTTTTGTCAGCATTGTGGTAAAATTTACTTTGAACGTTACAAAATTAACTTTAGAAATAATAAAAGTTGTAAATCGCGTTGTTGCCATGGGCAGAAATTCCAGACTATTTAGTTTTTATTTTGTAAATAGTAAAAGTTATTCCATATTTTTTCCGTATATTTACAAAATTATTAATTAATTAATTATTAATAAGCAAAATACAACATTTTTTATTTTCGAATAATTTCGGAACCAAAATTTAAAAAATTCACTTATTATAACTAATTAATTAATTAATCATTATTGTTTATTATTTTCCAAAATGTTAATGAAATTCTTCGCAGGAATTCAATTATTTGCAAAAATTTTCATAAAATCTTCGTATAAATTTAATTATTTCCAATATATCTAATTTTTATAAAATTTCAATTATTTTCATAATTTTTCATGAAATTCAATTATTTTCAATACAATTTTCAGAAAATTTCTCAAAAAATCCAATTGTTTTAAAAAAAATTTAAATAAAATTATTCGAGGAAAAATTCCGTTATTTTAAAAAGTTTTAATAAAATTCTTAATAAGAATTGAATTGTTTTTAGAAATTTTAATAAAATTCTGGGCAAGAATTCAATTATTTTGAAAAGTAATAAAAATTTCGTAAGAATTCAATTGTTTTTAATACAATTTTAATAAAACTGTCCGCAAGAGTTTAAGTAGTTTTCAAAATAATAAATTTCTTGGTAGGAATTCAATTATTTTCATACATTTTAATGAAATTCAATTATTTTTAATACAAATTTCAGAAAATTCCTGAAAAAATTCAATTGTTCTCAAAAAAATTATACAGACTTATTCGTAAAACAATTTAGTTATTTTCAAAAATTTTAATTAAATTTCTAATAAAAGAATTGAATTGTTTTCACAAATTTTAATAAATTCTCGGCAAAAATTCATTTATTGTTTAAAGTAATAAAATTTTTCGTAAGAATTCAATTATTTTTAATACAATTTTAATAAAACTCTCCGCAAGAGTTCAATTTTTTTTATATATAGGTAATAAATTTTTCCGTAGGAATTAAATTATTTTCATACATTTTAATTGGAATTAAATTATTTTCAAAACAGTTTAAAACTTTTTTAGTTATTTTCAAAAATTTTAATGGAATTAAATTATTCTCAATAGAATTTTAATAAAATTCGTTACAAGATTTCAATTGTTTAAAAAAAATTTAATAGAATTATTCGTAAAAATTCAATTATTTTCAAAAATTTTGATAAAATCCTTGAAAGAATTCAATTACGTTTTAAAACTTGGATAACATTTTTATAATAATTCAATTATTTTCACAAATTTTAATGAAATTCTCTACAAAAATTCAATTATTTTGAAAAGTTAGAAATATTTCGTAAGAATTCAATTATTTTTAAAAATAATAAAATTCTTCGTCTGAACTCAATTATTTTCAATTTAATTTTAATAAAAATTCTCGAAGTAATTTAATTATTTTCAGAAATTTTAATTAAAATCCTTGAAAGAATTCAATTATTTCCAAAAATTTTGATAAAATTCTTCGAATTGAAATGATTTTTAAAAAATCTAATTTCTCATAAAATTTAATGCAAGAATTAATTATTTCAGAATAAAAATTAAAAAAGTTACAAAACTTATAACATTTATTTAATGAAAAATGTATTTTAAAATTATAAAAATATTTACTTTTGTTAACGCAAAATTATAAAAAAAAAATTATTTCTAAATTTTTCTTTTAAAAATTGTATCACAAATCTTATTCTCTAAGTCCGAATCAGTAAAAATTTGAATTAATGAGAACAAAATTGATATAAAATTTCTAAAAACTAATTTTTCGATTCTACATAGTTTTAGAATTTTTTTTTGTAAATAACAAATTTACAATTTAAATTATTATTTTTCATTTGAATCAATTTTGATTAATTAATTTTTGTTATTATTCTATCTTGACAGAAGTCTAGGGAATTATTAATTAATTACTACATTATTAATTAATTACTATATTATTATTAAATTACTACGATTATTAAATAATTAAATTATCAACTAATTTTAATTTGCAGGCCGAGTTTCGAAATTTAGACACTTGAAAGGAACTCCCGGTCATAAATCAACTCATATCGAAAATATTCGGAATATCAGTCGACAAATATCAGGAGAGTGCGATGGATTTCATGGTTAGTGATTTATTTTCAATTATCTTATGAATAATAATAATTGTAAAATTCAAAATATTTAAAGTAATCAACTTGAATATATCTTTAATTTTTCAGCAAATGCGGATCGAGTGGCAGTGCCTCTAAGTGGACCAGGTGGTAAAATAGCAGTTTTAGAATTAAAAAAAACTGGAAGACTGCCGGATGGTGTCATGCCTGCATTAGTGCACGGCGCAACTGTTATGGATTTTCAATGGGATCCATTTAACAATCAACGACTTGCTGTCGGTAAATATTTTCTTCTTTGTTAAAAAAAATTCCTTTCTTTATTTTCCCTTTTCTTTTTTCATTGGTTATAAATATCAACATTGTAATGAAATTTTTAATTCGAAATTGATTAAATTTTGAATAAATTACTGGAATCGAAAGAAAATTTGAATTAATTCATAATTGATTAAATTTCGAATAATAACACGAATAATTCGAATAATTCTGGAATTGAAAAGAAAATTAAAATTGATTAAATTTGGATTAAACACGAATTGAAAGAAAATTTAAATTGACTGAAAATCGATTCGGTTTGGAATAAATTAATCGAGTTAAAAGAAAATTTCTTTGAACACAGAATAGACTAATTTGCTCTGTAGCAAATTAAATTTCGACTAATTTACTCGAGTTGAACGAAAAATTTGATTCAATAGTGAATTGTTTACTTTGCTTTGCAGCTTGTGACGATGGAATGATTCGACTGTGGGAGATTCCAGCAACAGGTTTAACGGAACCAACTAACGAGCCAGCTTTTACTGTTGAGGCGCACACGGACAAGATTTATCTCATTAAATACCATCCATTAGCGCTGAATGTTCTGGCTTCGGCTTCCTATGATATGAGCGTGAAAATCTGGGATTTGGAACCCTTAACTTCCGGTGAATTTGTCAAGGCAAAAATTACACTCACGGGACATACGGATCAAATTTTCAGTCTCGCGTGGTCTCCATGTGGACAGTATCTCGCCAGTACTTGTAAGGATGGCAAAATACGAATATACAAACCAAGAAGCAATGACTCGCCGATTCGCGAGGGCAAAGGTCCAGTGGGCACGAGGGGAGCGAGAATTGTCTGGGCACTCGATGGACGCTATTTGGTTGTCATGGGATTTGACAAGTGCGTAAAACAATTATTAATTTTAAAATTTAAATCTGTAATTTATCCTGATCTCTAAGTTCCGAACGTTTAAATGAACTGAATTTATTTACTTCTTCAAATTGAATTTGTTTCACAATAATTTTGCCTCGCTATTAAAAAAAATTAATTACAGTTTCTAAACGTAAAATTTAAGTTTTTAATTAATTAATTTACTTATTAACGAGATAAGCCCTTTCGTACAAAAAAGTACGAAATTATTTATATTTAATTAGCAAATGATACGCGCGGAACGCGGTATTCCATTTCTTATTATTTAGTAAATTAAAAAATTTTATATTTTCAAGAATAAACACCAATTTTTGAATGATTACAGATTCAAAATTTTTAAAATTCACTTATTAAGTAGATAATATTAAATATCTTTGTTTATTATTATTCAAAAATTTTAATAAAATTTGTCGCAAGAATTTCATTATTCTCATGAATAATAAAATTCTTTAGAGCAATTCAATTATTTTCAAAACATTTTTAATAAAATTTCTCGAAAGAATACAATTATTTTTAAACATATTATTTAAATTCGATTATTTTCAAGAATTTTAATATAAATCCAATTATTTTCAACAATTTTAATCAAATTCTTTTTAAAAAAATCATTATTTTCAAAATTTTTAATAAAATTCATTCAAAAAAATTCAATTATTTTTATGAATTCTAAAATTCTCCGCAAGAATTTAATTATTTTCGCAAAAATAAGAAAATTCTTCACAAGAATTAAAATATTTTCATAAATAATAAAATTCTACAAAAGAATTCAATTATTTTCATAAATAATAAAATGTTTCGGAGGAATTCAATTATTTTTAATAGAATTTTAATAAAATTTCTCGAAATAATACAATTATTTAAAAAAAATATTATTTAAATTCAATTATTTTCAAGAGTTTTAATTAAATTTTCTCGGAGAATTTTTACAAGATTTTAAAAAATAATTGAAATTTTTGAAGAAATTAATTAAAATTGCATTGAAAATAAGTGAATAATTCACAATTTTATTATTCATGAGAATAATGAAATTCTTGCGACAAATTTTATTACATATTTATAATTTGTCTAAAAGAATTTTTATTGCAATTATTGAAAATAATTTAATTCTTCATGAAATTCAATTATTTTCAAATCTTTTTATAAATATTTTACAAGAATTCAATGATTTTCAATACATTAATTTTAAAATTTAATTAAATTAATTTTGAAAAGAAAAATTATTTTAAAATTTAGGAAACAAAAAAGCAAACAGCAACTTACCAACGATTATTAATATAGAAGATTATCGCAATCAGTAATTTATGAAAATATTTTGAATAAAAAATATTTCGTACATTTAAACATTCGAAACGAAGTGGATCATAATTTCTTACGTTTAGAAAATTTGTTTAAAAATATTTCAAGTTTAGTGCGTTGAATATTTAAAAATAACTTAAAATGATTTCAGAGTTTCAGAAAGACAAATTATGGTTTTCAAGGCGGATAATCTTAACTCTTCATTGAATACAGTTGGTTTGGATGTATCGCCGGCAATTTTGATGCCATTCTACGACGAGGATAGTTCGACTTTATTCCTCACTGGTCGGGTAGGTATTATTTATTATTTTTCTTTTTTTGTTTAGTTCTTTATTTATATTTATTTTCTTTGTTTTTATTTTAATAAGTAGTACACAAATAAAATAAAAATGAAAAACGAACATGAAATAAAAAAATATGTTGCAAATATGTGATGATTAAAAATAATTTTAATTTTTCAGGGCGATTCGACAATTTACGCTTTTGAAGTGACTGAGGAAGCTCCTTATTGTTGTCCTCTAAGTCATCATCGGTGTGCAACTTTACATCAGGGACTGTCATTCCTACCGAAAAATAAATGCGACGTCGCGAGTGTTGAATTCGCTTCTGCTTTGAGGCTCACAAATAACACCATAGAGCCATTGAGTTTTACAGTACCAAGAATCAAAGTAAGTTATCTTCATATTTTTCTTTTTCAATCGAAAAATTATTTTTCGTATATTTGTTTTCTACAAATAATGTTTTCATAAATATTCATATTCATAAATAAACGTTTTTGTATAAATAATGTTTTCTTTAAAAGTTTAAATAATGTCTTCTATAAATAAATTCTTTTCACAGAGTGAACTTTTCCAAGACGATCTTTTCCCACCGACGAAAATCACTTGGAAATACACAATGACTTCCGGCGAATGGTTTGAAGGAGGAAATAAACAACCAACAAGAATCAGCCTCAAACCACCGGGAATGGATTGTTGTTAGTATTTTAATTTAGAATTTTTTTGCTCGAAATTTATGATTGAATTTCTTTTAATTTTTATGCTTTCAATTTTCTTTTCTTCCTTATATTTACTAAACGACAGAGAAAGAGAGAGGGAGAGAGAAAAAACGTCTATCGAATATGCGTGAAAAAGAAAAATTATAAGTAGTCTTTTAATTTTCTGTAGTTTATTTACGTTTGGTTTTTCATTTTGTCACCAGTGACTGAAAATCAAGGACAAGCTGTTGTCACAGCTCCTGTAGCTGCAAAGCAAAATTTTCATAATTCATCACAGCCATTCAATAGGTCAGGATGGAATCAAGATATCACTAGTCATTCTAAAACAAATGAGGTAATTAAATTAACTGTTAATTAAATACCTAGTTAATATTAAATTTACTGTTAAATTATTTTTCTCAAAATATATTTTTCTTTTAATTTTACATAAATTTATTTTTGTGACAGATTCAAAAAACTTTGAGCAATCTTTTGGGAGAAGTTATTCAGTGCCCTTTGGAGCAAGATCAAATGGATGGTGTGGACGAACACGAATGGGTAAAATAATTTTTTTCTATTACAGAGTTGCCACAGGTCAGGGAATTCAGGGAAAAGTCAGGGATTTTTAGTAAAAGTATTGGAAAAAATTGAATTTTAAAAACTCATGAAAAAACTCTGAATTTTGATGTTTTTTTGTTTGCCTCGTAAACTATGAAATTACCACGAATTTTAATACAAAACCTTGAATTTTTTCTATTTCAGACAATAATTTCTTTTTAAATAATTTAATTTTATAAAAACTATCATAAAATTATGACTTATAAATTATTTAATGAATCATTTTTATAATTTTCATAAATACTAGATTGATAAAAGAATTTTAGTTAAAAATACTAAAAAAAAATTGAATTTTGGAAAAGTTACAAATAATTCTAGAAATTCAATTATTTTCAAAAGTAATAAAATTTTACGCAGAAATTCAATTATATTTTTAGAAATAGTAAAATTCTTCACCGAAATTCAATTATTTTTATAAACTTGAATAAAATTCGTTGGAAGAATTAAATTATTTTCAAAAGTAATAAAATTCTTTGCAGAAATTCAATTATGTTCCAAAATTTTAAATAAATTGTTGTCAAAATTTAAATTATCTTTATAAATAATAAAATTCTTTAATAATAAATTATTTTAAAATTTTTATTAAAAATTCTCGTCAAAATTTCAATTATTTTTAAAAACTTTAATAAAATTCTTAGCAACATTTCACAGGAATTCAATAATTTACAAGATTTTTAATAAATTTCTTCGAAATAAATCAATTGTTTTCATAAGTAATAAAATTTTCACAGGAATTCAATTATTCAATATAAAAAATTTCAAAAAATTTTTCGAAAAATATCAATTATTTAAAAATAATTTTGTAAAATTCGTCGCAAAAATTCAATTATTTAAAAAAAATTTAACAAAGTTCTTTTCAAGAATTTAATTATTTTTAGAAATAATAAAATTCTTCACCGAAATTGAATTATTTTAGAAAAATTTTAATAACATTTTTGGGAAAATTTTTAATTACTTTCATAAATAATAAAACTCATGGCAGGATTTTAATTAATTTTTGATACAATATTTTAATTAAATTCCTTGATAAATGTAGATAATTATTCTTAAAAATTTCATTAAAATTTGTCAAAATAATTTAATTATTTAAAAATTTGTTGATAAAATTCTTTATGAGAATTCAATTTTAACAAACATTCAATTATTTAACAAATTATTTATTTTTTAATTTAAATAATTGAATTCTTTTAGAATTTTTTAAATAAAAATTGATTAAAAAATGAATTACCGAATAATCGATTTACATATTATTTTTGAAAATAATTGAATTATTGCAACGAATTTTATTACAAATTTTTTCAAATAATTGAATTTTTATGAGAAAATTTACTATACTTTTTAAAAAGAATTGAATTCTTGCGAAGGATATTATTAGGATTTTTGTAAATAATAAATTTTTTTTGAAAAATTTCATGATAATTTAAATTATAGCAAATTTCAAAAAGGTTTGAATTTGAATGTATTGATGAATTTTAATTCCCACGGAAAAATAATAATTATTATTATATAATAATGATTAAATATTTATTTAAAAAAGAAATTATTGATGTTTTTGAATAATTTTACAATTAATGAAATTTGTAAATAAATGTAAAAGAATATTTTTTTGAGTTTCTAATAATTTTTAGAGTGAATCAGAATATTTTTTAGGGTCAGGGAAAAAGTGAGAATTTTGACTAGAAATCAGAGAAAAATAAAATAAATATTTGTGGCAACCCTGTTATTAGAAATATTAGGGAATAAAATTGAGTTTATTAATTAAAAAATGAAGCTAAATTTGATATTAATTAAAAATAAACGATTTTTTCCAGGATGATTGAATGCAACATGGAATATAGAGAGCAAGTCACGAAATTCGGTGATAGATTAATTTATCCTTGATTAAACTGATTGACAATTAGTAGAAATTGCTATTTGAATTGTCTAATTATGTACTAATTTTTTTTTAAACTTCGAATGGTTCTGTTTTCTGGGCCGTGCCATAAATGTATTTTTCTATTTATTCCTGCTTTTTTGCAGCAATTATTTTTTGTTTCAATTTCTATTTAAAATCATTTTTGTCTAATTGTAAATGTATTTTTTGTTTCTTGAATTTACATTTGTTCCATAGAGTAGCCAAACTATTTTACGCCTAATTGAATTGTGAAACGACAGGTAAATTAGCGTAAAAAAGAAAGTTAAGTTAATATTTATAATATGTAGGTTACTCAAACTGTTAGTAAATAATAATGTCCAAGACAAACTTTTTATTATTGACAATGTTTTTGCTCAATGAAATTTATATTTAGTCAAAAAGAAACAAGTACCATTTTTCTTTAATACATATTTCTTTCGATGGGATTTTTTTTTCCTTTTTTTTTTGACGTATAACGAATGAAGTTAAAAAGAAATCATACGTGATTATAGCTCTAGTCTGGAGGTGATTTTTTAGTATTTTCCATTATGCCTAATATTAAAAAACCAATAACTCATTAATATAGTGTACGAATCTTATACATTAGTGTATTGGGAACTTTTTAGATTAAATCAAATATTATTTAAAGCGAAAAAAAGGCGACTCATCTGAAACTATAAAAATTTCAAGTCTTTCGAAATCGATTATTCTCGACTTTCATGTAAAAATTCAACAGGAATTTAATTCAGTTATTTTATTAAAGTATTGACTTTAATAATAACAAAACCGTAAAAAAGGATTTGAATATAATTTCTAATTGTAATTTTAAAAATCAAAATATTTAATTTAAAGGTATGTGTGCAATTGAAAATATTGAAAACGCAATTTTTTATTCTTTATAAAAAAAAATGTATCCGTTTATAATTATTTTGATAAATTAAGTTTGTCAAAATGTTTAATGACAAATATATTTATCAAATTGGTATCTTAGTTTTATATACTAAAAAAAAAGAAAAGAAAGAAAAAGAAAATGTGCATCATTGCAATCACATTGATGTAAAGTTATATCAAATGTGTGATATTAGTAATTGTTACTGGATGAAAATCTTTATACCTTATAAAACTACACGCACATACTGAACTAAAAATTTATTACTCTAAGAAGGGAAGATATCGATAAATAAGATAGTAAACGAGAAATATTAAAAATTATCAATAATTAAGAAAATACTGATAATTATTAAATATGCTTAACAAAAATAGTAATAATAATAATATTATTAATAATAATAATAATAATAATAATAATCAGAAACTGTACCACACAATATATTTAAGAAATAATTATTATAATAGATAATGAGTGGACTGTGCATCTCAAGAGTCGCGTCTATTTTCCACTTTTTACATTGTTTCGATACAATAACATTTTTGAATATGTAACCGAATAAGATAAAAACATTTTTGCTACGAAGTATTTTATTATGAGAAAGAAATTTTCATTTCCATTTTGGTAGTTGACGGGTTTTCCGTAATAAATAAACAAGTGCCAAAAATTTCATGGTACTCAGGTCTTGAAAAAGTATTTCATTTTATAATAATATTTCTAAAATACTATAAATTGAAAACTTAACTGAAAACTTAATTGAAAAATTAATAATTAAAAACTAAATTGAAAAATTATGTGAAAAATTATTTGAAAAATTGACAATTGACAAATTAATGAAATTGTATAATTCTACGTAAAACGTAAAATATTAATATACATTTAAAATTGTGTTTTCAACTGAATGTGGAAAAAAAAATTTTTTTACTGTATTTATTTATTGTAATTTTGTTGAAATGAAAAATTTGAAATGTGAGGAAGAATTAGGTTTTTTTAAAAAAAGCTTCGTAAGCTAATTTAAAAAAAAAGACACTGCATTTAATAGTATTAACGATTTGCATTAATTTTTAGTGTCTTGAACTGTAAACATGTAGTTAATGAAAGACGTATTTTATACCTTTTTTCCAAAATAAGGAATATTTCCTTCTGTAAAGACTCACGTTGTCTAATATTAATAATTGCACCAACTTTGAGGAGACAATGCTGAGTTATTATACCTGATTCAACTTTTTATATAAAAAATTATTTGTATTGACTTTGTACCCTACATGTATTTCATCTATAAAGTATTCCTACCATTAAAATTATATTTTTCAATTTTCTCCCTTCATTTAAATCTTTACTTTTCATGAATAACAAAATTCATTGTAGAAATTCAATTATTTTCGATATTTGCAAAAGTTTTAATGAACTTATTCGTAAGAAATTCAATTATTTTCATAAATAATAAAATTCTTCAAAGAAATTCAATTATTTTCATAAATAATAAAATTCTTCAAAGAAATTCAATTATTTTCATAAATAGTAATATTCTGAACAGGAACTCAAATTTCAAAAATGTTTATAAAATTTTTTGCAAGAATAAAATTATTTTTAATAAAATCTCTTTGAAAAAATTCATTTTTTTAAATTTTAATGAACTTATTCACAAAAAATTCAATTATTTTCATAAATAATAAAATTCTTTGCAGAAATTCAATTATATTTATAAATAGTAAAATTCTGAGTGGAAATTCAATTACTTAAAAATTTTTTTATAAAATTGTTTATAAGAATTCAATTATATTCAATACAATTGTAATTGAATTTCTCGAAAAAATTCAATTATTTTCATTACAAATTTTAATGAAGTTCCTCGAAAATTTCAATTATTTTCAAAAATGCTAATAAATTTCTTTCCAAGAAATCAATTATTTATAAAAATAATAAAATTCTGCTTAAGAATTCAATTATTTAAAAAAAATTTATTAAAATTCGTCGCAGCAATAAAATTATTTTTAATACAATCTCAATAAAATTTCACAAAAGAATAAAATTATTTTCAATACCTAGTTATAATTTTAATGAAATTTCTCGAAAAATTTCAATTATTTTCAAATATTTTAATAAACTTCTTCATAAGAAATTCAATTATTTTCATATATAATAAAATATATAGCAAAAATCCAATTTTTTTTTAAAATTGTAATAAATTTTTTTGCAAAAATCCAATCACTTTTTTCAAAATTTTTCATAGGTAATTTAATTAAAAAATAAAAATATTATAATTCAATTTCGAAAAGTTTTGATAAAATTCTTTATAATTTTATTGTATTTATAAATAAAAAAAAACTTCAAAAGAATTCAATCTTTTAAATTTTGATAATTAACTTAATTAAAAAATAAAAACAATTCAATTATTTTCATAAATAATAAAATTATTCGCAGGAATTAAATTATTTTTATAAAGTTTAATAAAATTCTTCGAAAATATTCGATATTTTCAGAAATTTTGATTAATTTTTTTATAATAATTTAATTATTTTCGTAAAGAATAAATTATATTAATTCAATTATTTTTATAAACAATAAAATTATTTGCAGGAATGAAATTATTTTCAAAATTTTTAATAGAACTCTTCTTGAAAATTCAATTATTTTCATAAATAATAAAATTTTTCCAGATATTTAATTATTTCTTATAAACTATAATAAAGTTCTTCGAATGAATTGAATTATTTAAAAAAAATTTAGATAAAATTCTATTTAAAAAACACTTTAATTACTTTCAATACAATTTCAATTCGGTATTTTTTCTCTGAAGAATTGAATTATTTTCAAAAATTTTATTAAAATTTAATTTAATTTAATTAAAAATAAGTTGAGTAATTATAAAATAATTTGAAACAAAACATTTCAAAAAAGGAGAAAAATTATTTTAAAAATTAAGAAACAAAAAAGTAAAGAAAAATGACTATTTTCAAATTGCTAACAGATATTCGAAATATAACAATTATTTTACAAATATAGATTATTTTTCATTTAAATATTATTTAAACGAAAAGACATTTTCTTCACAATGAAAATACTTTTTTTGTATTAAAAAAAAATTCTTTACTTATATAATTTAATTATAAGTACGAGTAGATTAGTTAAATTCAAAAAAACTCAATCTTTTAAGAAATGGATATTTATTTTAAGGTCGTAGTGAAGAATAAATTTAACGGAATATTAAAATAAAATTATTTCATTTGTTTATTATAATTATTTTCTATCTATAGTCAACTAATTCCACCAACACGATCTCTGGGTATTAGTCTAAGTTCTGAGCCATGCTTCAAAAAGACGTTTCCTGCAATTAATGGAAACAATTTTTTATTATAATTTCAAATTTATTTCTAACTCGATTATTATTGTATAAATATAATTTTAATTACAATTATAATTTTAATTTTGATTATTACAATTGTAATTTTAATTTTAACAATTGTAATTTTAATTACAATCATAATTTTCATTTTACGAATGAATTTTTTTTCTTTTTTTTTACATACCCGCTGTTTGCTGTGGATTAATTCCCACACCATCGTCAGTTATTATTGCTGACGTAGCTGGGGTTACTTTGAACTCCTCCGCAGCAAACTTTAACACCGCCGTAAAAGGTGTATTTTCCGGCACGCTCAGTCTGCAACAAATACCCAAAAGATTGTAGAAAAAATACTCTATTATTCCATAACAAATTTTTATTTTTCTAAATAACATTAAATCTTTTTAATTTTTTAGTGTAATAAATGTGTTTTTTCTTTCTTGCTGGTCTAAAATTATATATTTGTTTTTTTTAAAATATGCCATAACGTCTAACATACTAGCATAATTACTATTAGAAATATTCTATAATTGTAGAAAAATTATTTTACACGAGAGAAAATTATTTAAACCCTAATTGACATTTTTCACAATATATAAACGAACGCAGTCTCTTTCAATATCCTCCCAAAAATTCCCATCCATTTCCTTGGCAATATTCAATTGCCTCTGTGTCTGACAACTAATTTCATTTGATTCAGTTAGAAGAATTCGGAAAATTTTCGCAATATCCTCATACTGAACACCCTCCTCTGAAATCCAATTTCCCTCCTGGAAAAACATTGAACGTCCAAAATAAAAGACAGTATCTAAAAAATTGGTACAAAATTTCGAATTTTCCTGGAGAATTTTCACAAGTTTCGTGGGTTCAACTTCTAGAATTTCTTGAAAAAATTTCCTATTATTTTCAAATGCTCTCAATGTAAATCTCTCCATAATGAGATTTTTTGTTTTCGGTTTCATTTTACTGTTTAGACATCCGTCAATCAGTTTCGATACTTGATTATCGTCCAACATATTGTCAATATATTGAGCAACTTCAATTTTTTTTCCATTAGTCACTTGCTTATCCCAGGTGAAAAATATTGCGTCGTCACGTAATTCAGAAATTGGAACTTGTTGCTCCGCTAGGGAATTTAATATTAAATTTGAATACATTGCATCTTTTAAGTTGCTATCTAAAAATGTGCGAAATCTCTCTTGACCGAAACGTTGAATATAAATACTGAATAGTATATCAATTTTCCTCGTTGAAACACGTGGGTCTTTCATTAATATTTCGAGCATTTTGTCACAAGCTTTCTCGAAATTTGAACATTGATACGTAGTGGAAAGTCGGTAATTTAAATACTTTTCGAATTCTACTTCTTTTTCTTGTTCCCTTACTTTTGTTATAAAGTTTTCAATAAATTCACAGCAATCGTAAATTTTCACAAAGTCCTGCTTCTCCATACTTTCGGTTAAAGGCGGTTCGTCAATTATTTTGCAAAATGTGACGAATACTTCCAGAACATCATCGAATTCATCAATCATATTGAATTGTTTATTTTGTTTTATTAAATATTTTTTCTATTATTCAATTACCGAAACTACTTACTACGTTTAGTGTAAAAAATAAACTTACACTTTAAAGGGCAACTTTGGATCTGATGTCAAAGTGATTTTGAAAGTGACTTTTGATCTGTAAATAAAAAAGTTTATTTAAAGAAAATTGACACTATCCATTATATAATTTTGCTAAATAATTATTTAAATACTTATTTCTTTTCATGGGAAATAAAATTTAAAAAATTTCAACTTCTAAAATTTAATAATTTCTAAAAATTACAACTAATAACCCTTCCCAAAATTAAATTATTTTCTACTGATATTTAACTAAACTCCGTTTTTCAATCAATTATCTATATTAATTTTTAATAATTTTCTGAAAGTTCTTAAAAAATTCAAAATTATTTAAATACAAAAATTCAATTTTCTATAATAATTGAAATTGCCGATTTTTTGTAAAGACATTAAGGTAGAATATTTTCAAAAATGTTAATAAAGAAATTCTTGGAATTAATTTTTTAACAATATTTTAAAATAATTTTTGAAAGACAATAGTTTTACAATTATATACAATTAAAAAATGTCAAAAAAAAAAAATGAAATTTGGTAAAATCTTTGAAAAAAAATTGAAATCTGATTGAAATATTTGAAAAATAATTGAATTTTTAAAAGATATAAAAAACCATCAAATTTTTGAAGAATTTTAATTATAAATAATTTCTCTAAAATTGTAATAAGTCTAAAAAAAGTAAACTTTAAAAAATTTTAATTTACTTTGTTCGAAGGTAATATTGAACTTTACAAAATTGTGATAAAACAATTCTAAGAATTAGTTTCTTTATAAATATTGTAAAGTAATTTTTCGAAAATAATTGAATTTATAAAAAGAAGTTTTGTTTAATTTAAAAAGAAACTAGTTAATTTTTTTGAATTTTAATTAAAATTTTTGAATATGATTATCTTCCAGAAAATGTTAAAAATAATTCTAAAAAACGTTAATGTTATTATTTTTTGTATGTATTTGCATTTTCGGAAATATGAAATCGAAAATTTTGAAAATAATTGAATTTTAAAAATTAGAATGAAAAAATTCTGGGAATTATCTTTATCCAAAAATATTTTAGTATAATTTTTAGAAACTAATTTTCATTAACGTCATTTTTATTAAATTTAAACTTGAAGATTTTTCTTTAAAATTTTTGAGAATTAAATTTTATTATTTTTTCCAAATTTTGCAAATTGAAATTCTTCAAAAGTTGATTTTCAACATTTATAAATAAAATACTTGAAAAAATCAATTAGTTTTAATTAAATTTGATAAAATTTCAATTATTCAGAAGCTTTTTAATGGTATATTTCGAAAATTTAATTAGAAACATTATTCAAAAATAATTTAATTTGAGAGATTTTTCTAAATTATACTTTTCACACTAATAAAAATCGAAATAAGTTGCAGTTTTTATACTCTAAATGTGGTATTTTGTCATTGTAAAAAAAAGTCGAAAAAGTTGTAATTTTTTAATATAAGTCGATAAAAGTTTCATTATTTGAAAATAGTCGAACAAGTCATAATATCCGAGGCCTGATTATAGTTAAATTTATAACACGATATTTAGTCTATTTGATTAAAAATCTCTATTGACATTTGAAAAATTAAAAATTCAGTAAATCATATGTTGAAAAACATATGTTTCAAGTCCAGTGATTCAAAAGTCAATTTCTTAGAATATTTCCAATATTTTCAATTGTAAAAATTACTTACGCCATTGTTTATTAATAAAATTGCCTATGAAAAATTGTTCTAAGTGACTGATGTAAATAAAATTGTTCCTTTTATAAGAACAAGATGCACAAAATAACAGAACAAAATTAACCTCGATTTTTACCAGTATCAGTACCAGACCAGCTGTCACTTTTAGTAACTGTCAAAAAATAAAGAGGGCGCTGTCATTTTTTCCCACGCGCATCGCATTTGCGCAGAATCGTGTTTGCGCATGTCATTGAGGTTAAATTTCTGCATTTTTGTTGTAAAGGTTGTAAATAAAAATAAAATTATACTTTTCTTCGGATACAAAATAAAGGAAAGACATTTAAAAATTTACCAACATTTCAATTGAACGTGATTAATAGTGACAGTCTCATTTTGCATTAATTTAACTGAGTGTGAATTATACAATAAAATTGTCATCTGCTCCTAATGTCACGTGACCTTTGGAATCGCCATGCGTATTTTAACGAACATGGCCACCGGTAAAGGACTCACGGCGATTTTTAATCCGAAAAATGTGAATTTAATAACGTGTTCCAAATCAAATAAATTACGAAGTGGTATTTTACAACGTTGCAATTCCTGTCAACGATATTTTGCTACTTTAGCATTGGGTGTCGATGTCTGGAATCGTCAAAATCAAGAAAAATGTAAATCACTTATACTTCGTGTCAATGCACGAGTTTTTTTAGATTACATCATATAGTTTCGTGAATGTTTCCTTATTTTCTCTATTTTAATAAATTTGGAATTTTTGAAATTAACTTGCACTCTGATACGAGATTATTTTCAGTTACTAACACTCAGTGAAAAGTGTTGTCATACTTTTTTGTACTTATAACCTTAATACCACGTTGGTGAACTTTGTGAAATTCAAGAAAATTAATTGCAAAATAAATAAAATATAGAGAAAATAATCCAGAATAAAATGTTTGTGGCTCTGGATTATAATTTATTTTGATTCAAAAATATTGTAATCAATGTTGATAAGTAAATTTTATATTTTTGCAAATTCGTGGTTATAACCTCAAATTTTTCGATTTTTGTTCTTAACATTTATATTTAGAACTAAATTTCATAAGTCATTATTGATACACATTATTTATTTAATGATATAATTGTAACATAATAGAATCTTTTTTTACGAATTTATATAGAATTTATTCATTCGATTTATTATAAATAGAATTTATTGTCACGAATTTATTTATGTTTATAAGTTCGAGAATAGAGAAAATTTTCTTTACAGTTTTCAGTTTTGTTTACAGTTTTTTTAAAATATTGTTTCAGATCGAATAGAAAAATTTACACAGCAACGGAGAGAATTTCATGTGACAAATAAACTTTTAAAGAAACGTGACTATTATGAAATATTGGGTGTGTCTCGAAATTCATCGGCAAAGGACATAAAGAAGGCTTACTATCAATTAGCAAAAAAGTATCATCCAGATACAAATAAGAGTGATCCGAATGCGGGTAAAAAATTTCAAGAAGTCTCCGAGGCTTATGAAGTACTGAGTGATGACGCTAAAAGAAAAGAATACGATGCATGGGGTGCAACATCAGAGCAAATGGGAATGGGAGGTGGAGCAGCACATCAGGCAAATCAAAATCACCGAGATTTTAATTGGCAATTTAAATCGACAATTAATGCTGAGGAATTATTTAGAAAAATATTTGGAGAAGCTGGCTTCAATAGTTCAGCTTTCGCTGATTATGAGGATTTGGCTGATTCGAGATATGGTTATGGAGCAGCACAAGAGGTAATTAATGACTATTTAATTAATGATTACATAATTAATTAACAGCAGGCTTCGTATTCATCTACAAAAACCAACTATTTACTACTTTTTTACGATTTACTATTATCTGGATACTTTTTTTTAGATTTGTGACACTAGAAGCTACTTTTTTCCATTTTTGAGAATTTGCACTACTTAAAATTCGCCAATAGTTTGAATAAAAAAATTTTAATATACAAATTAATAGAAAATTAATACTTAAAATTAGCTACAATTCAAAAAATTTTAATAAAATTCTTTCAAATGATTCAATTATTTTCAAAAATGTTTCGAAATTCAATTATTTTCAATATCTACTATTTTAATAAAAAATTTTCCAAAAGAATTCAATTATTTAAAAACAAATATTTTATAAAATTCTTTGAAAACATTGAACTATTTACATTGTAATAAAATTTTCAATGGAATTAAAATTTTTAAAACACAATTTTCATAACATTTTTCGAAAAATTCAATTATTTAAATAAATTAATAAAGTTCTTTGCAAGAATTCAATTAGGTATGTTTATAAATAATAAAATTTCAGAAATTCAATTATTTTTAAAAATTATAAATAAAATTCATTACAAAAATTCAATTACTATTTTCATAACTAATAGAATTCATCGCAAGAATTTCAATTATTTTAAAAAATTTTATTAAAATTCTTCAAAAGAATTCAATTATTTAAAAAAATTTTTATAAAATTCTATGAAATCATTTAATTATTTTCATAAATCATAAAATTTTCAGTGGAATTCAATTATTTAAATCACAATTTTAATAAATTTTTTCGAAAAAAATCAATTATTATTTAAAAACTTTCTTATAAAATTCTTTGCACAGAATTTAAATATTAAAAAAAATTAATAAAGTTCATTGCAAGAATTCAATTATTTTTATTATAAATAATAAAATTCTTCTCCGAAACTTAATTGTTTTCAAAAATTAAAAAAGAAATTCGTTGCAAAAATTGAATTATTTTTATAAATAATAAAATTCTTCCCAAAAATTCAATTTTTTTCAAAAATAATACCTAAAATTTTTTTTAGAAATTCGGAATTTTTCATAAATAATAAAACTCATCGCAGAATTTCAATTATTTTTAATAAAATTTTAATTAAATTCCTCGAAAATTGCAATTATTCTTACAATTTTTATAAAAATTCTTCAAAAGAATTCATTTATTTAAAAAAAATTTTATAAAATTCTTTGAAAACATTCAATTATTTCCATAATAAATCATAAAATTTTCAGTGGAATTCAATTATTTAAAACACAATTTTCATAAAATTTTTTTAAAAAATCAATTATTTAAAAAAATTTTTATAAAATTCTTTGCACAGAATTCAATTATTAAAAAAAATTAATAAAGTTCTTTGCAAGAATTCAATTATTTTTATTATATATAATAAAATTCTTCTTGGAAATTCAATTATTTTTAAAAATTAAAAATAAAATTCGTTGTACAAATTCAATTATTTTTAATACAATTTTGAATAAATTCCTCGAAAATTGAAATTATTCTTAAAATTTTTTATTAAAATTCTTCAAAAGAATTCAATTATTTTCAGTACAATTTTAATTAAATTTCTCCTACGAACTTAAATTTTCTTCTAAACAATTGAATATTTGTATTTTTACAATTTTTATTTATTTTAAATTATTTTTATTCATTAATTCTATAAATAATAACTTTTTTACAGGAATTCAATTGTTTAATTAAGTTAATTTAATTTCAATTAGATTTAGATTTATTTCTTATTGTACATCTTTTTAGGTAATTTAATTTCAATTATTTTTAATATAATTTTAAATGAATTCTTTAAAAAATGCGATTATTCTTGAAAATTTTATTAAAATTCTACGAAAGAATTCAATTATTTAAAAAATTTTGATATAATTTGTTTATTAGAAGTTAATAATTATTTTCAATACATATTCATCTAAATTTCTTGATAGAATTTAATTATTTTCGAAAATTTGTAGAAATTCAATTATTTCCAATATCTATTTTTCCAAAAGAATTCCATTATTTAAAAAAAAAATTGTAATAAAATTCGTCTCAAGAATTCAATTATTTTCATAAATTATAAAATTCAGCGAAAAAATCAATTATTTTCAAAATTTTTGTTGAAATTCTTCGAAAAAATCCAATTACTTAAAAATTTTGATAAATTTCTTTATACGAATATATTTTTAAGAAATATTTATAATATTCAATAATTTATTTATTTTTGTATTTCAATAATTATTGAATTCTCATCGAACCTTCTAATAAAAATTTATTTAAAATTGAATTTCAGATAAAATTTTAGATAATAATAATTGAATATTAGAAGCGTTATAATGTGAATTTTTTAGAAATAATTAAATATCTAAAGATTTTTCAATAATTGAAATCTTTGAAAATTTTAATTGTTATAAAATTAATAATACTAACATTTTTAGTTTGAAATAATATTGTTTTTATTTTGAAATAAAATGATTAAGGTTTTAAATAATTTTATTAAAAAATTTCAACAAAGAATATTTGAATTTCGAAAGATATTATGCAGTTGTAATTTTTGAAATAGTTAAATTTCAAAAAGACTTTACATTGAAATCAGTTAAAATATTTAAATTCCCGTGGAAGAATAAATAGGAATAAATATTTACATTAAAATAATGATTTTATTTTTGAATTACATTGAAAAATAAATTCAATTTAGAAATTATGAAAAAAAGTGAGTCGTCAAATTTTATTTTTCGATAATTACTTTTTTTTTAATACTTTTTTACAGTTTTAAAGCTATTTTTTTTTGCTAGTTTTATAAAATAAATTATCGAGTTTGAAGCCTGTTGAGGATTAATTAATTTTTTCCGAATGTTTTTATTTAAAAGTACGTATATTTTTTCGATTTGTGAAAAAAACTCGTCTAATTCTCTTTTGTTTTACAGGTGATAATGAATCTTACCTTTTCTCAAGCGGCTCGTGGAGTTAATAAAGACATTGAACTAAATGTTGTCGATACTTGTCCAAAATGTCAAGGCACTCGTTGTGAGTTAGGAACAAAGGCAATCAAGTGCCACTATTGTAATGGAACAGGAATGGAAACTATTAGTACAGGTCCCTTTGTAATGCGTTCTACTTGTCGTTATTGTCACGGATCTAGAGTGTACATAAAATTCCCTTGCAATAATTGTGAGGGAAAAGGACAAGCGGTAAGTTTTTCGAAACATTTTTTTCTTTTTTCGATTAAGAACGTAAGTTCTTAATCGAAAAAAGAAAAAAATTGTTTCGAACGTAAGTTCTTAATCGAAAAAAGAAAAAAATTTAACGAATATTTTCCCCCCTTTTTTTAGATTCAAAGAAAAAAAGTCACAGTTCCGGTGCCGGCTGGCGTCGAGGATGGACAAACAATTCGAATGGCTGTGGGAAATAAGGAAGTTTTCGTGACATTCCGAGTGGAAAAATCGAGATATTTCCGAAGGGACGGTGCCGATTTGCACACGGACGCTAAAGTTTCCCTCTCGCAAGCAATTCTCGGCGGTACAATAAGAGTTGAGGGTATCTATGAGGATCAGACGATTTTAATTTCACCGGGCACTTCGTCCCATTCGCAAATTCGTCTAACTGGAAAAGGCCTGAAGAAAGTGAGCTCACTGGGTTATGGTGATCATTATGTGCATATAAAAATTACAATACCGACGAAATTGACGGAAAAGCAGAAAGCCCTATTGCAAGCGTACGCTGAACTTGAAGCTGATACGCCCGGAACGATTCAGGGTGTGGCGTCGAAGAAGGATGGTAAGAAAAAAAAATAAAAGTTTGATGTCACGAGCATTGCACAGCTGCTAAAAAAGAAATTAGTTTATCATTTATTTATCAATTGTCAGCGATGCAATGATCGTTACTTTTTTTTTTAATGATACATTAGAGCATCGCTTGAGTTTTCCCAACGTGTACATTTTGTGCTTTGAAATAAAGCAGTTTTTGAAAAATGTATCTGTGCCTTTAGTTTCATCAATCTTTTTTTTACAAATTTTTATTTTGTTTCTTTTTTTGAGAAAAAAGACGAACTTGAGCAAAGAGTTTGTTGAAAAATTTAAATTTAAATTTTCTTTAAAGAAAAAAAAACAAATTGGTTTTTTTTAGGCACGTCGGCGCAAACTCAAGCGAGTCGCCCTGAAGGTCTACTCGATAAGGTCAAGAAGGCGATATTTGGATAAGATTTTAGTAGGTGAGTTGTTTATTTCCGGTGCAGGTTCATCTTGTTAGTCGACGTGTTTCCCGATCGTACTGGTTTTTAATTTTCGCCCTTCATTGGAATTATTGCCGGGATTTATGATTTTTGAAGAACTACAACTTTAAATAGAATTCGTGAAAAATAGGACGTAATAAGAACAGGATTTACTTATTTTCAAGAAAAAGTAACGAAACTAAATTCTAAATCATGTAATTTTAAATTTAATGCTTTGAAGATTACAAAATACGAAAATGTTTTCAATTAAAAACATTTTTTTTATATTATTTCTTTATTTATTTCATTTATAATTTGGAATCTGAAATAATTAAATTCTTAAAAAAGAAATTTATCAATATTTTTCAAAATAATTGAATTTCCTGAGAAAAATCAAATTAAAATCTTGAAAAACAAATTAATTCTTACGAGAAATTTAATTAAAATAATATTAAAAATATTTAAATTCTTAAAAAGAGTTTTATCAAAATTTTAGAATTTTTTTCGAAAAATTATATTATCATTATTTAATTTAATTGAATTCTTTCGAGAAATATTATTAATTATAAAATAAATTGAAATCTTTCTAGGGATTTTATTAATTGTATTAAAATTAAGTGAATTTTTATAAAGAATTTTATTTTAATTTTTCATAATTTTTTTCTGAAGCATTTTATTAAAATTCTTTAAAATCATTGAATTCCTCCGAAATATTGTATTAATTATGAAAATATTTCAAATTTCATAAGTAATTTTATCAATGTTTTTCAAAGTAATTGAGGGTCTGCTAAGAATTTTATAAATTATGTAAATAGTTGAAGTTTTATAGAAATTTTCAAAGTAATTTGAATTTTTGCGAAAAATTTTGTCAATTTCTTCAAAATAATTGTATTCTTTTGAAAAATTTTACTGAAATTGTATTAATTATGAAAATAATTGAAATCTCACTAAGAATTTAATTAAAATTGAATTAAAAAGAAGTGAATTTTTGAAGAGAATTTTACCAAAATTTTTCAAAATAATTGAAGTTTTGAAAAAAAATTTTTCTTATGTAGGAAAAGAATTAAATTTTTAAAATTATTTAATTCAATTTTTTTCTTATAAAAAATTTTATTGGAATTTTTCCAAAAATAATAAAATTTTTGCCAAGAATTTTATTAATTATGAAAATAATTCAATTATCATAAATAATTTTATCAAAATTTTTCAAAGTAATTAAATTTCTGCTAAGAATTTTATAAATTATGTTGAAATTTTCAAAGTAATTTGAATTTTTGCGAAGAATTTTATCAAATTTTTTAAAATAATTGAATTCTTTTGAGAAATTTTACTCAAATTGTATTGAAAATAATTGAATTTCTGCGAAGAATTTTATTAAAATTCATTAAAATAATTAAAATTTTAAATTCTCCGAAGAATTTTTGTTTATTTATTAAAAATGAAAATTATTAAAATAATACAATTGTCATAAATAATTTTATCATAATTTTTCAAAGTAATTGAATTTCTACTAAGAATTTTTTATTAAAATTCTATAAAATAATTTAATTCCTGTGAAAATTTTTATAAATTATTAAAATAATTGAAATTTTATTAAAATTTCCGAAAGTAATTGAATTTTTTCGAGGAATTTTATTAAAATTCTACTGAAAGTATTTCAATTCTTATAAAATATTTAATAACAATTTTTCTAAATATTTTGAATTTTTTCGAAGAATTTTATCAAATTTTGAAAAATAATTGAATTCTTTTAAGAAATTTTACTGAAATTGTATTTGAAAATTGTAATTGAATTTCTGCGAAAAATTGTATTCAAGTTTTTGAAAACAAATTTAATAATTAATTAGTAAATTAGTCAATAATTGAATTTTTTTTCGAAATTTCGAATCTGAAATTATTCCAAAATTGAAATTAATATTAATCAATCTTTTACGTCCGAGAATAAAAAAAACATTTTTTAAAAAAATTTTTATAATAATAGTAATAAATGAAATTTATCGCGTTTCGCGCGAAAATTTTACTAGTTAATCAATAAGAAAAAATTAATATATCTAATTTTAATCTAAATTCTAAATTTTAATTTATTTAATTTATTTTTCCTTAGGAACAAAAGAAATTTTTGAGGGACCTGTGGAGCTTGTGAAGGCTTTGAGGGCAGCTCTAGATGACCACCCAGTTTCAAAACAACCCTTGCAATCAATACCAGAGGGTCCTGGCGATAAATCCCAGGGTGACAGTTCAATTTCGGAAGATAAAAATAAAAGTGAGAACGCCATGAAGAAACAACGACGAAAGATGCCCTAATTTGTAGATATTCAAAAGCAGTTGATTTCATTTTTTTGTCAACTTCGGAACTTTCCAGTGAAAAGCACATTAAGTACGTTAGACTTTATATTTTTACCAAACTTTATATCGAACACGCTATTGTAAATGGTTTATTCGTCTCTTTTTCTCTTTTTCTCATTTTTTACTGTTCTTCCTTTTTTTTATTTCAAAAAAATTGGTTTTTTTTATCTAAAAAATTAAAATATAAATATTCAAATATGATTTTAAAGTCAGGACTTAGAAAAAAAGGATATTATATCCTTCCGTAGATTTTGAAGAATGACAAAAAAAAAACTTTTTTGCTGAAATGAATTAAATTAGCTAAAAATAAATTTTTACTACTCGGCATTGATTTGTTTTTCCATCTCGTTCTCTTAAAAAAAAATGTAGTATCTGAAAAGTTGTATAAATTGATCTTAGAAAAATTGTTTTAAATAATAGAATGTTACCAAAATGTTTCTGAAAAAAATAAAATACAATTTTTTAACGAAACAAAGAAAATAGATACTTTTTTATACGTACAAATTAAAAATATTCAAGTTTCAACAAAAAACACAATTTTTATTCAACGCAACGATCTACATCGTTTTACAATTCTATTTTCTATCACGATATACAAAAATCAAACTATTTCTTTCAGTCAAAAAACAGCTTTTCTTTAAAAGGAAAAAAAAGCTCGTCTAAATTTTGTGACAACGGTTGTCAATTATTCTTTAAAAATTATATTGGTCTTTTTTTCGAAACAGTCTTGTGAGAAAAAACCCTGACTTTCCGATATTGATAATTGATTCTTTTTTAATTCTTTTCGAATTCTTTTTTTTTTATCTTTTTTTTTTGGTGAAAATTTTTTGAATCTAAATGACGATTTTGTGTAAAATCGTTGTGTTATCTCGAGAGATATTTTCATATGGAAAATATATTTAAAACCGTTTCTATGCATGAGTTAATAGGCCATATTTTAGTCCGATATTGGTTAAACTTTGTGAGGCTGAAACTTTTAAAATTGCGACTGCAACCGCTGCTATCGTGACGGCGCCTTCGAGATAGAGAGCATATAATATTCTAACGTGACCGGAAGTTGTTGCTAATCCACCGGCAGCTGTAAAATCCAGAGGAAACAGAAGACAAGCGGCAACCGGTCTCATTCTCGCCGCTCCAAAGCATATTATCCCCAGTAAATAATACACAGCTGATAATGAAATATTAAATTTAATTAAATCATATTATTTACAGGAAGAAGTACATCAGAGTTGCCACAGGTCAAGGAATTTAGGGAAAAGTCGGGGAAAGTACAATTGGTCAAAGAAATCATGGAAAAGTCAGGGAATTTTATTAAAAGTACTGGAAAAAAATTTTATTTTTAGAATTCATAAGAAAATTCAGAATTTGAGTATCTCTTTTGTTTGCCTCACAAACTATGAAATTACCACGAATTCTAATACAATGCTTTAAATTTTTTCCATTTCTGACAAGAATTTCTTTTTAACTAACTTATTCTCAAATTTATTCAAATTCAATCATTTTCAATATCTACTATTTCAATAGAAATCCCCAAAGGAATTCAATTATTTTTTTAAATTAATAAAATTCTTCTCAGGAATTCAATTATTTTTTTAAATAATAAAATTCTTCTCAGGAATTAAATTATTTTTTAAAAATTCAGACAAAATTCTTTGCAAAAATTCAATAATTTTCATTACTAATAAAATTCGTCGCAGGATTTCAATTACTTTAAAATTAATTTCTCGGAAATTGAAATTAATGTTAAACATTTTATTATAATTTTCCAAAAAACAATTAAATTATTTTCAAAAATAATAATATTCTTCGCAGAAATTCAATTATGTTCAAAAATGTACAAAAATTCTCGTCAAAATTTCAATTATCTTTATAAATAATAAAATTCTTCTTCAAAATTTAATTATTTCCAAAAATTTTAATAAAATTCTTTAAAAAATTTCAATTATTTTGAAAAATTTTCCTCAATTCAATGAAATTTTAAGATCTTCAATTTATTTACAAAATTTTTCCTCAATTCAATAAATTTCTACATCTTCTATTATTCTCAAAAATTTTCAACAATTCAAAGATTTTCAAATACCTACAACTTTAATAGAATTTTCCAAAAGAATACAATTATTTAAAAAAAAAATGTAATCAAATTCTACGCAAACATTTAATTAATTTCATCAAAATTTCACAGAAATTGAATTATTTCTATTAAATTCCTCAAAATAATTTAATTTTCAACAATTTCAACAGAACTCTTTACAAAAATTCAATTATTTTCATAAGTAATAAAATTCTGCGCAGAAATTCAATTATTTTCAAAAATAATAAAATTCTTCACGGAAATTCAATTATTTTAAAAAATAATGAAATTCTTAGTAAAAAATTCAATTATATTCAAGAATAATAATAAAATTCTTCACAAAAATTCAATTATTTTTATAAATAATAAAATTCTTCGCAAAAATTCAATTTTTTTCAAAAATAATAAAATTCTTTTTAAAATTTCGGAATTTTTCATAAAAATAATAAAAAAATTGAATTTCTAAAAAACATGTAATTATTCTTTCAAAATTTATTAAAATTCGTCAAAAGAATTTAATTATTTAAAAATTTGTTGATAAAATTCTTGATGAAAATTCAATTTTCAGAAACAAAAACAGAAATAAATTATTTATATTTTTATTTAAATAACTGAATTCTCGTACAATTTTCCAATAAAAATTGGTTTAAAAATGAATTTTAGTTACAATTTTAAATAATAATTGAATTTTGAAAAGGTTTTAAATTAAAATCTTTGGAAATTTGAATTTTTCTTATTTTTAACTTACAATTCTGAAGAATTAATTTTTTTGAAAAAGTTCAATTGAATTTTTTAAAAATTATTTCAAGTTTTTATTTTCTAAATATTTAATTGCAGAATTTTCGAATAATTGAAATTTCGTAAAATTGAATTGTAAACAAATGAATTTGAAAATTGTCAAAGAAATTTTGCAAAAATTATTAAAAATAATTGATAATTGAATTCTTTCAAAGAATGTTAATAAAATTTTGGAAAATAATTAGTTTTCGAAGAATTTACTTAAAATTGTATTAAAAATAATTGAAATCCTGTGAAGAATTTTATTATTTAGGAGAATAATTGAATTCTTGCAATTAATTTTTATTATTTTTTTTGAAATAATTGAATTCTTTTGGAAAATTTTATATTAAAATACTAGATACAGAAAATCATTTAATTGAATTTTGAGTAGAATTTTTGAAACATTTGGATCGCAATTGAATTTCTACAAGGAATTTTATTAGTTTTGAAAATAATTAAATTTCTGCACTTATTTTAAACTCTTTAAACTTAATTTTGATTAATGTTTTTAATTAAAATTCTTCTTTAAATCAATTATTTTTAATAATTTTTGAAAAAATTCTTTGAGGATTATCAAATCCATTTATTTACAATTCAATTTTTCGAAATTTCGATTATTCGGAAATTTGTCAATAAAATATATATCATGGAAAATAGAAACTTGAAATAATTTCAAAAAAATTCAATTAAAATTTTTTCAAAAAGAATAATATTACGGAATTGCTAACTAAAAGTATGAAAAATTACGATTTTCAAAAATTTTAAATTGAAACCTTTTAATATTTTAATATTCAAATATTATCTTAGAAATTTAACTGAAATTCAATTTTTATATTAATTTTTATTAGAAAATTCTACGAAAATTCAATTATTTAAATACAAAAATAAATAATTTATTGAATAATTGAATGTTTCTTGAAATTGAATTGCCATAAAGAATTTTATCAATAAATTTAAAAAAAATTGAATTCTTTTGACAAATTTTAATAAAATTTGAAGAATAATTACGAAGAAATTTATGCAAATTATATTATGAATAGTGCAATTCATTTAAATTTTTTATTATTTATAAAAATAACTGAAACTTTGCGTCGAATTATATTAAAATTTCTTTTAAATAATTTAATTCTTTTGGAAAATTGTATTAAGGTCATGTTATTCAGTGGTCACGTGTTCCCATAGTAAAGTGTATGGAGCACGTGACCACTGAATAACATGACCTTAATATAATAAATATTAAAAATCATTGATTTGAGGAAATTTTAGAAAAATAATTGAAATTTTGAAAATAACTCAATTCTTGCAACGAATTTTATTACATTTTTTTTTTTTTTAAATAATTGAATTCTTTTGAGAAATTTTATTAAAATAGTAAATTTTGAAAATATTTGAATTTTACCTAAGAATTTCATTATTTGTGAAATGTAATTGAATTCTTGCAAAAAATTTTTGAAAATAATTACATTTTTCGAGGAAAATTCATTTAAAATTATATTTAAAAATAATTGAAATCGAATGAAAAAATTTATTATTTATGAAAATAATTGAATTCTTAAAACGTATTTTATTACATTTTTTGAAATCATTGAATTCATGTGACAAATTTTATTACTTGTAAAAATAATATTGAATCCAATTAAAGAAATTCATGTGTCTAATAATTTTTAGAGTGAATCGCAGAATATTTTTTAGGGTCAGGGAAAAAGTGAAAATTTAGTCTGGAAATCAGGGAAAAAGAGAGAAAAACAAAATTAAATTTTTGTGGCAACCCTGATTAATTTTTAGGAGGAAATACTAATTTACAGGAAGAAATACTAATTTAGGAAAACAGAGTTCTAAAATTAGTTAATTTTAATTCATCTTAATTAATTTTTAATAATCTTAATTAATTTGAATTAATTTTTATTAATTTTAATTTTAAAAAGGAAAACAGAGTTTTTCTCTCACCTATACAGCAAAATGGTACAGCCTTCACCCATCGTGGAATCGGCAACGAGTCCATCATTTCGACGTCTTTGTGTTTAATTTTCCGCCTAATGCCATATCGTTGAAGTTTCACTGCCAGCAATAGGCCAACGTTTAATACTAATAGGAAGTGAGCTGGAATTCCAATGGCGGCAAAAATTACCGCCACCGTTCGACCTGCAGTTGTTCGTGGAACTGGCGCTCCAAAACCTGAGCGGGAATATAATCTGATTTCACTAAATTTAATGATAAATTTGGAGAATAATTACATTTGGATGAAATTGGAAAATTAATGAGGAGATAAAGAGGAATTACCGAGCGTTGTGATGAGGGCAATTGCAAATAATACACAACCGGAAAAATTCCAAAGTTGTCCACTCTGACCACCCTCACCATAGCCAGCATTCACGGCGAGTAATAAAACTTTTTCGTGTTTATCCACGTATTGTTTAACTTTGTTACTCCAAAGTGGTTCCATCTCATCCTCCTCGGCTTTCAATAGCCTTAATTCCGTGGCCAAACCAACTGCCAGGTCACGTTGAATATTTTTTAACTTTAAAACTTGTTCTCGTTCACGTGGACCCTCTGTCATGTAGAATGCCGCTGCTCCGGCGACTGCCCAAAATGCCAAGAGCCAGGCTAGACCTTTGTGATGAGAATATTGTTCATTTTATTCTTTTTTTTTTTTTTTTTTTGCTTTCTACTTTTATTTCCCTTCTAAATTAATTGTCTCAGATTGGACTTTATTTTTTATTTTAAAAAAAGGCGAATTTTTTTACTTTACAATTTTTTTTATAAAAAAACAACTTTTTTTTTGTTTTCAATATTTGGAAGAAAAGCATAAACTGCAACTTTATTATTGTTATGCAAATTACAAAATTTTTTATTTTCAAATATAAATTTAAAAATAATTTCATAATAAAAATGTTAAAAATTCACTTATTAAGTACAAAAAATAAATTATTATTGTTTAAATTTTCAAAAATTTTCATATAATTTTATTCTTCGCAAGAATTCAATTATTTTTATATAAATAATAACATTCTTTGGAAGAATTCAATTACTTTTGAAAATAGTAAAATTTCACGAAAAAATTCAATTATTTTCTAAAATTTTTTAAAATCCTTCTAAACAATTCAATTATTTTTTAAATAGTAAAATCTTTGGGAAAATTCAATTATTTTCAAAAATAATAAAATTCTTCACGGGAATTCAATTATTTTCAAAAATAATGAAATTCTTAGTCAAAATTCAATTAGATATATTCAAGAATAATAATAAAATTTTTCGCAAAAATTCAATTTTTTTCAGAAATATGTAATAAAATTATTTTTATAAATTCGGAATTTTTCATAAATAATAAAATTCATCGCAGAATTTTAATTATTTTTAAAAGGTACAATTTTAATCGAATTCCTATAAAAAATGTAATTATTCTTACAATATTTATTAAAATTCGTCAAAAGAATTCAATTATTTAAAAATTTGTTGATAAAATTCTTGATAAAAATTGTATTTTCAGAAACAAAAATAGAAATAAATTATTAATTTTTTTATTTGAAAAATTGAATTCTCATACAAATTTTCTAATGAAAATTGGTTCAAAAATGAATTTTAGATACAATTTTAAGTAATAATTGAATTTTGTTAAAAAGGTTTTAAATTAAAATCTTTGAAAATTTGAATTTTCCTTATTTTTAAATTACCTACAATTCTGAAGAATTAATTTTTTTGAAAAAGGTCAAATGAATTTTTTAAAAATTATTTCAAATTTTTATTTTCTAAATATTTAATTGAAGAATTTCCGATTAATCGAAATTTTGTAAAATTGAATTGTAAACAAATGGATTTGAAAATTGTCAAGAAAATTTTGCAAAACTTATTAAAAATAATTGATAATTGAATTCTTTCGAAGAATTTTAATAAAATTTTGGGAAATAATTACATTTTTCGAAGAGTTTACCTTAAAATTGTATTAAAAATAATTGAAATCGTTCTAAACAATTTAATTATTATTTAAATAGTAAAATCTTTGGAAAAATTCAATTATTTTCAATAAAATTTCACGAAAGAATTTAATTTTTTTCTTAATTCGTTATTAAATTTTTTCAAAAGAATTCAATTATTTTCTAAAACTTTAATAAATCCTTGAAAACAATTCAACTATTTTTTATAAATACTAAAATTCTTGAAAGAAATTAAATTATTTTTAATACAATTTAAATAAAATTACACGAAAAAATTTAATTATTTTTAAAAAATTTCCATAAAATTTAATTTCAACAAGAAATTGAAATTATCTAAAAATAATTGAGTTATTCTCAAAATATTTTAAAAAATTCTATATGAAAATTAAATTACTTTTTCGATGCAATTTTTAAATATATTCGTCAAAAAAATTGAAAGAATTCAATTATTTTCAAAAAATAAAAAAATTCTTCTGATGAATACAATTATTTTGAATAATATGCTTAATTTTAATAAAATTCTTTACAGAAATTCAATTATTTTCGAAACAACTTTAATTGAATTTCTCGAAAGAATTTAATTATTTTCAAAATTTTTTATAAAATTCTTCAAAACAATTCAATTTTTCCTAAAATTTTAATAAATTCTTTGATCATATCAATTATTTTTTTAAATAGTAAAATTCTTGGCAGAAATTCAATTTTTTTTCAAAACAATTTTAATAGAATTCCTCAAAAGAATTTAATTATTTTCAAATATTTACATAAAATTCATTTATTTCCTATTCTTTTAATTAATTAAGTTTAATATTAATTATTTAAATAAAATTCAATCAAAATTCAATTATTTAAAAAAATGTCAAATTTATTCAAAATTTAATTATTTTTTAGAATTGTAATTGAATTTTTTAAAAGAATTTTCGGTCATTTTAAGAAACTAAGTAATTTTTTAATGAATTTTACTAAAAATTATACTCGAATTTGCAAATTTGAAAATGTATAATTAAAAGTATTAAATATAATTTAATTTTAAACAATTGTAATGACAAAAATTGTAAGAATTATTTTTTTAAAACTATTTTCAAATATTTTTTGAAAGATAATAGATTTTTTAATTTTATGGAGTTGGAAATTTTTCAATTATTTGAAATTTGTAACATTTTTTTTTAAATAATTGAATTTTTGGAAAATATTAAAAAATAATCAAGTTTTTTGACGAATTTTAAATATAAACGTAAAAATATATAATTTGTCAAGAATTTTCATTTTCTAACAATTTTAAGTGACGTTTTTTGTAAATAATTGAATTTTTTATACAATTTTACTAAAAAAAAACTGTAAGAATTATTTAAAAAAAAATTATTTTAATTAAATTCCTCGAAAAAATGTAATTACTTTCGAAAATATTTAATTAAATTCCAATCATTCAAATAATTTTATTCTGACAACACTGAATAAAATAATCAAATTTTCAAATTTTTTTCCATCTTTAACAGACAAAAGCGAGTGTTTTCGATTCTAGAAATTTATTCTAGAGAAATTGGAGTAAAAAATTTGTTATATAGATTTTAATAAGAAATGATGAGTACAAATATAGTTAATAATTCCATTGTTTTTCAAGTTGAAAAGTAGAGCATAATTTTCATCCAAGAACTTTATACGTTCAAAGGAATATGACAAGTTTTAAAAAAATTATTAATATTGATTGTCATGCATAGTTTGAAACTATATTGTGTATACCTGACAGTCATTGCCAATCAATTGACTGCATTAAAGAAAAAGACTTATACTATTTTTTTTAAAGATGCGTCCAATTAAATTTATTATTAAAAAAAAATAATATCCCAATGAATTTTTTAAATTCTTTCGAAATTAAAAAATTTATTGAAATATTATTTTTTTTTTTATTTTGGAGAAAATTCTAAAATATTTTCCTCTTTTTTCAGTAAATGAATTTTTTCTTAAATAATTGTTTTAATTTTTATTTTAATTTTCTATTAATTTGACTAATTTATTTTTTTATTAAATTAATTCAATTAATTTGACTAATTTAATTTTTAAATAAATTAATTAAATTAATTTGACTAATTTAATTTTTAATTTAATTCAATTAATCAATTTAATTTATTGCTGTTCCTTGAAAAATTGTGTTAATAGATTCCATTTATTTATTAATTTATTAATTTTCGGGCATTGAGTGAAATTTATATTAAAGAGAAAAAAGTTCATTTACCAAATTGCGATAGAGACAGTCTCCCCAAAAATCTGAGGTGCCTCCACAATCTCGAGGATTTTTTTGGATCTGCCGAATTTTCCTCATCGACAATATCTCTCACTTTTGGCAGAACACGTAGCATGTAAGGTAGTCCATGAGCTGTTTGAACTCCCGTTGATTTTGTCGTGGATGATTGAAAATGATTAGCTTCACAATTTAATCGTGAGGAAATTTCTTCGGAAATTGTTGTGGGTGTTACTAATTGTAAAGAAAAATTTTCAATATTAATTTTTTCTCTCTGTAATTTTACGTCTTTTTTTTGTGAAAAAATTATTTTCTTTAAACATTTAAATTTTTATTTAAAACGCTTTTTTAAATATACTGGAAAAAAAATATATTTGATTCGAATAAAAAATTATTTTTCCATTATCATTATTTATTGTCAAATAATTATTTACTTGAATCATATAATTTTTATTTAAATAAATTAAATTATTTTTTCTCAAAAATACTGAAATTGTTGTTTCAAATAAAATTTCATTGATTTTAATAAAAATTATTTTAAATAGAAATTATTAACTATCAATTATTATCAAAATAGAAATTAAGATAATATAATTAAAAATGATTATAATTATTATTTATTAAAAATTAATTATTTTAAAAATGGAAATTTAAAAAGAAATAAAAAAATTTCATTCCAAAGAGTATGAAAAGAGTAATTATTAATTATTATTAAAATAAAAATAGAAATTGAAATAGAAATGAAAATAGAAATTTAAATTTTCATTCGAAAGTCTAGAAATTTTTGATAAAATCTAAAAAGAAATCCATTTTGAGTTTTGACAAACAACTATTTCGTAATTTTAATTGCAATAATTTTAAAAATAGAATTGAAATATGCAAATTGGTTTTGTATTTGTATACAGTGTTTGTAAAAAAAGAGTCCACTCTTAAAAATACTAGAAAAAGTGATAATTATATAAACACTTGTATTGGTTATATGCACGTGGTGTGTGAGTACAATTGCATAGATATAAGTACAAAAAATGTACCAAGAAAAATATTGCTTCTCTAAAATTCATCATTTTTTTTCATAATTGAATAACAAAGTAAAAGATATTTTTACAATTTTTTTTCGATCATTTTCTTCATCTTCTACTTTTTTATGGTTTTAAGGAAATTTATTTCTTACCAATTAATAATATTTCCAAGCAATAAAATTTAAATATTAATTAACTTTTCTAGTTAATTAATATTACTTTTTTTTCTAGTTAAAACAAAAAAAGAAAAAAAATGAAAAAAGCCGAGAATTGATTTTTTAATTATTATTTCTTTAGTGTGATAAAATCAGTGTCATTAACAATTGTGAGAGAACATTAAAAGTGCCATTTTTTCAATTTATTGCACACCATGAATTTTTTTTTTACCTTCTATTACATTTGGCTGATGATCAAGCTCCAAAGTAATATGATTTTTATCGATAATGCTAATAGTTACTGCAAGATATATTCAGAAATAAATAAGAGAAATTAAGTATAAATCAAATTAAAACAAATAATTACTACTTTATTTAAATAATTACTTATTGGTTTTCTATTGAAATAAAAATGAAAACAAATAGAAAATCATCTAAATTAATTATTTTTTATCAATGATTATTTATTAATTATTTATTATTTACTATTTTTCTTAAACATTAAATATGAATTATTTATTTATTATTATTATTATTATTTATTTATAATTGTTATTATTATTAAATTATTATTACTCTATTAAAATAGAAAAATAGAAATTGTTAAAATAATAATAAGGGAATATTTTTCTGAAACTAAATGTGAATAATAAATAATAATAATAAATCAATAAAGAATATTGAAAAAATCAATTTCCTTTAGTAAATTAATTGGAATTGTACATAGAAATGACATGCACTTTTATAGAAAAATAAAATATTTAGAAAAAAGTGAAATTTTTTTTTTCGATAAAAATAGAATTAACAAAAAAAGAATTATTGATTTTTCCCTTTTATAAACTGCGTACTAAACAAGAACATACATATTCATATTTTCTATAGAATTCTTTTCAATTTCGTTGGCAAAGAATTATTTTCAAATTTAAAGAATAAAATTTTTTTTAATTTGCAAAAAAATACATGAAAATTTTTATTCTAGAGGCAAAAAATACATGAAAATTGTTATTCTAGAGGCAAAATAATTTGAAAAATATTTTTCTTTCGCAGTAAGAATAATTATTATAAATAATTATTAATTATTTTAATTATTGGATTCCTTTCAAGTATTCGTTAGCAAATAAATATTTTAAATAGTAAACATTTTTCTCGAAAAATAAATGAAAAAATTTATATTCCAATGGCAAAATTATTTGGAAAATAATAGTTTTATTTTCATTACTTAATTAATTTATTTAATTTATTATTTTTTTAAATTAAAATAATAATTTTTCACCTATATTAATTCTCAATCGAGTGATAAATTCATCAAAATATTATTGTTGTTTAAATTATTTTAAGGCACAAGAAAAATTCCATTCAACTATATTCTATTGTATAGATATATAGTGAATTATATAACAATTGTATAACTATTTTTATGAGTTACTATATGGTATAATAACAAACAAAAATTATCTCTCAAATGATGATTACACATCAGCTGTTCCAACACTTGTTGCTAAGTTTGAGGAATGCTTCATTTTCCATTAAATTAAACAAGTAAACATTAAAATATTACAAAATACATTCGTCATATTTCCTTATTAGTTCATTTTTGTTTTCTTGTTGAAAATTGTTTTTACATTAAATTCATGACCTCAAAAACAAAAAAAAAAAAAAAACTAATAATGAAAAGAAAAAAAAATTGTGAATTAATATCAAAATTTAATTTCTTCTGCAAATAAATTACAAATGGTAGTGATTCATTGAATCGCAAATTTATTAGAGGCCTAATTTATTATTAATAATTAATAATAAATATTATTATTATTTATTATTATTAATAATTAATCATTGATAATAAATATTATTATTATTTATTATTATTAATAATTAATAATAAATATTTTCCAATAAAAGGCCTAAATAAATTTTTTTATTACAAAATAATTAGAAAAATGCAACAAAAAGGAAATATTACACTGAAAAAATTTTTTTCAAAGCAAATAATATTTAATTGATTCAAATAAAAAGTATTTGATTTAACTAAATATTTATTTGATAAAAGACAAATAATAGGTTATTTGAATCAAATAAATTTTTTTTCAATAATTTATTATTATTATATTTCTTTTTTGTTATTGGTATTGTTTTGTTATTTTTGTTAATATTTATTAATATTAATAATTATTATTTGTATACTTTATATAATTATATAGAATTATTTTCTTTTTACTATCTTTCTGTATAATTTTCAACAGTTTCTTGACTTATATTATTTGTATTTAACTTTAAAAAAATTCCCTTTTTTCTAATGAATAATAAATTAAAATGACTTTTCATTATTTTATATAAAAAAATTTTTTCCCCTTAACACAAATAATTTTTTCGTTTATAAAAACTAGTAATAGGACATGTCTTCATTTTCAATTCACAATCGAACTAAATCAATAATACAAGAAAACAAATAAAAAAATTTTTTCTTCTAGCCGCTTGTTATTTCTACTACGCAAACAATATTTTTTCTTTATAAATAAACTCTTAAACAAATTAAACAGAATTAAATTTTTTTTGTACAAAAATTTAAAAAAAGTGGTTTTAAATGTCTTGTTTCATACTCAACATTTGTCATTTATTTATAATATTTTTATTATTATTTATTATTATTATAATAATTATTATTATTATTATTATTATTATTATTATTATTATTATTATTATTATTATTATTAAACCATTTTTTCAATTTTTTCTGTTAGATAATAATTGAGGCCTTGGATCCAATAACTCGCCCGACGCTCGGAGGAACGCGCTAATACCAGTCGGGTAGCAGTGAGTGGCCCAGAGGCGCTCACTGCTCACTGACTGGCAGTTGCGCGTTCCTCCGAGCGTCGGGCGAGTTATTGGATCCAAGGCCTCAATTTTAGAATTATTTTTATCATGCATTTCAATATTATTAATACTTTAATTCATAAAATATATTAAAAGAAAATATTTTAGAATTGTTATTTTTATGATTATTTTTTACAACTATTTTTATAATAGTTATTATTACATTATTATTGTCATTACTATTATTTAGCTAATATTTTCTCAAATTTCCACATTAGATACAAATTTTAAAATTCTTTTTAGTAACAGGCATTTAATTATTATTATTATTATTATTATTATATTTGACTTTAATTTTCATAAAATATTTTTTACGTAAATATTTAACAATTTTTCAAATAATATAAAAAAAATGCAAACTAAATATTTTCGTACAAATTTAATATTCCAATTACGAATCTAATTTTTAAAAACAACTCGAAAAAATCAAAACATTAAATAAAATTCTGTATTGTCGCTTTGATTTTGATAATACTTTATAAGAAATTTTCTATTTATTGTTTACTTTGAAATTAATGTCAACAAAATAATAAAATTAATAAAGTAACACTCGACAATTGAATTAGTAAAATTTTTTACTAATTTGAATTAGTGACTAATTTTTTGCTTTTAAATTAGTAAAGTTTACTAATAAATAATAATTTCTACTAATTATTAGTAAAATTTACTAATACAAAAAAAATCAGTCAGTCACTAATTTAATTATTGTAAATCAGTAATTTTTACTAATAAACACTAATTTCTACTAATTTATTAGTAGATTTTGCTAAGAAATAGTAATTTCTACTAATTTATTAGTAACCTTTCTAGTAAATAGCAATTTCTACAAATTTATTAGTAAATTTTTTAATAAATAGTATTTAAAAAAGTAAAAAAAAAAAAAAAATAAAAAAAAAGTAGAGTAAAGTAAAAAAAAAAAAATTAAAAATTAAAAAAATTTAAATATTATATTTATATTATATTTATATTATATTTATTTTTTATTTTATTTATTTTTAATTTAATTTTTAATTAAAAATTTATTAATTATTTTTTTCGTAAAGTTTACTAATAAATAGTAAATTCTATTAATTTATTAGCGTAATTTACTAATTCGAAAACAAAAAGTTTGTCACTAAATTAAGGGCATTTGAACCATGATGACGTCACAGATTTAAAACTAATGCTTTGCACAAACTGTGACGTCATCAAGGTTCAAATCCCCTTAAATCAGTAATTTTTACTAATAAACACTAATCTCTACTAATTTATTAGTAAATTTTGCTAAGAAATAGTAATTTCTACTAATTTATTAGTAACTTTTCTAAGAAATAGTAATTTCTACTAATTTATTAATAAATTCTTTAATGAAAAGTAATTTCTACTAATTTATTAGTAAATTTTTTAATAAATAGTAACTTCTACTAATTTATTAGTAAATTTTGCTAAGGAATATTAATTTCTTCTAATTTATTAGTAACTTTTCTAATAAATAGTAATTTTTACTAATTTATTTGTAAATTTTTTAATAAATAGTAATTTCTGCTAGCTTATTAGTAAATTTTTTGCTTTTGAATTAGAAAAGTTTACTAATAAATAGTAAATTCTATTAATTTATTAGTGAAATTTACTAATTCTACAACAAAAAGTCGGTTACTAATTTCAATCAGTAATTTTTAGTTTTTACTAATAAACACTATTAATTTATTTGTAATTTTTACTAATAAACACTAATTTCTACTAATTTATTAGTAAATTTTGCTAAGAAATAGTAATTTCTACTAATTTATTAGTAAAATATTTTGGTATTTACTAATTCAAATTAGTCGGTCACTAATTCGAATTAGTAAACAATTTTTCGAATACAAATTTAGAGAGAATAAAATTATTGTTAATAGAATAAGAAAATTAATATTAATAAAATAATAAGTTTTAATAAAATAATAGAGTGTTAATATTAAGAAAATAAAATAAAAATTAATAAAGTAATAACACTAATGTTAGATAAACAATAAAATTAACAATAATTAAAATTAAAAAAGTTAAAAAAGAAAAAAATAGTAACAGTTGGAATAAAAAATAGTAAATATTAAATAATGAAAAAGTGAAAAATAAAAGGATTGTTTTGAAAAGAAAAATCTACCTGTGGCACACATAACATCGGCATCATCTTCATCGTCATCTTTATTTCTTCGTTCCGTCATTGTCAGATGAAATTCAGTTACACGTCGTCGTAAATTTTTTCCAACACTTTCCTTCGGTACTTGCCTTGGGTGTACAAGATTTTTACGCAAGTAACAACGCTTTTTTCGTGTACAATTCGCGGTAACCGGTTTTGTTTTTTCGATGAGAGCATGACGTCTGCGCGATATAAATTCACGAGGCAGAGTTTCTCTGGACGTCACGACGTCCAAGACGTCTCTGCGCGACAGCGTCGAGACGTCCCGCGTCGGCGGTGCCGGAAAAAGGGGGACGTTCATAAACAATTACTATATACCACGCACCACACACTTTTATATTATGTATACAATTTTACACCTTTACTTTGGTAGGTATATCAATTTTAATTGAATATTGTACTTCTTTTTTTTTCTTTTCTTTTTTTTTTTTTTATTCTCTCAAATGTATGACCTTGCAAAGGAGAATTATAATATGCACGCGAGACAATAACTCTATTATTATTTCTCCAGTTAAGTTCTACACAATATTTTCAGCAGATCCTTCACTGATTTTAATTTTTAATTGAATTTTCTCCTTTATTTCCCTGAGGTATATTATAATGGTTTTCAGTATAATATAAGTACTTTCTGGGTTAATACATTTTTTTTCTATGTAAAAAAGATTGTTGGGGGAAAATCTGTAATATGATTATTTATCAGTATAATTGGGCGAATTTAATTTCATTCTATCGATTTTAATTTCAATTTTAATGTTAATGTTAAAAATTTAAATTGAACAAATTTTGAATTTAAAATTAAATATCAAATTGCATAACAAACTGAATAATAAGAAATTTAATATCGAATAATAATTAATTTAATTTATAATTATTAATTAACTAGCAAATGTTATGCGCGCTAGCGCGCGGAAACGTGATTTTTGATTTATTATTATTATTATGCAAATTACAAAAACTTTTATGTTCAAATATGAATTTTTGAATAATTTCATATTTAAACTTTAAAAAAATTCAATTTTTTACTAATTTACTAATTTATTCTTGTTTAATAATTTCAAAATTATTTTTTAAAATTCTTCACAAGAATTCAATTATTTTTATAAATTAATAACATTCTTCGTAAGAATTCAATTATTTTTATAAATATAGTAAAAATTTTTTGTAAAAATTCAATTATTTTTAAACAAAATTTTAATAAAATTTCACGAACGAATACAATAATTATTTTCTAGAATTTTAATAAAGCCTTAGAAATAAATTTAATTATTTTTTTTAATAATAAAATTCTTTGCAAAAATTCTATCATTTTAAAAAAAATCCCACGAAAGAATTCCATTTTTTTAATTCGTTATAAAAAAGAATTCAATTATTTTCTAAAATCTTTATAAATTCTTCGAATAATTCAATTATATTTATTAATAATAAAATTCTTATCAAAAATTCAATTATATTCAAAATAATTTCACGAAAGAATTAAATTTTTAAAAAAATTTTAATAATGTTTTTAGAAAAAATTTAATTATTTCATAAAGTTTTAATAATAAATTCTTCGAAAAAATTCTATTATATTTATATTAAAAAAAAGTAAAATTCTTTGCATTAATTTAATTATTTTTAATACAATTTTAATAAATCTTTCGAAATAATTCAATTATATTTAAAATTATAGTAAAATTCTTTGCAAAAATTCAGTTATTTTCAAAAAAATTCAACGAAAGAATTCAACTTTTTTCTTAATTTGTTATAATTATAACATTTTTCAAAAGAATTCAATCACTTTCTAAAATTTTAATAAAATTCAATAATTATAATAAAATTGAATTATTTTCAAAATTTGTAATTAAAATTATTAAAGAAACTCCATTACATATTTAAAAAAAGATTCAAAGAAATTCTTCAAAAAGAATTTAATTGGAATTTTCAAAAATTTAAAAAAAATTCTTTGCAAGAATTTAATTATTTTCCTCAATAATAAAATGCTTTGAAGGAATTCTATTGTTATCAAATTTTTTAATAAAATTTCTTTGCAAAAATTCGATTATTTTTAATTCATTAATTTTAAAATTGAAAATATTTATAAAGATTTCAATGTTAAATCGAATATTAATTTACATGACCAACTAAATATGAATTTATATACTAAATTACATTTGAATTAAAACATTTAATGGAAAATTTTAGTTGAAATAATAAATTGAACTTTAAATTAAATAATTAGTTTAATAATTAATTAACTATTAATTTCAGGATTAAACTGAATAAGCGAATGACAAATTAGTGAAATAAAGTAAAAGTGGAATAAAAAATTATAAAAATATTTGAAAATTATGGTTTGAAAATCTTTTTCAGTTATTAAATACAAAAAAAACAATTAAATATTAACATTAAAATTTCGAAATTGACAAATGTAATTAAATATTTTATATGATTAAAATAATGATAAATAAGTGAAATGAAAAGTGATAAAAGTAAAAAAAAGATAATTATATGGTTTAAAAATATTTTTCAATCACTGGAACATAAAGAAGTAATTTAAATTTGATACTAAACTTTCAAAATTGAAAAATAAAATAAAAATATTTCTTCATTGAAATAAATTCAAATTCATTCAAATTATTGTTTCAAAATTATTTTCAATTTATAAATGTAAAAAGAAATTAATGTTGAAAATTAAAATATCGAATTTGAAAAATAAAATACAAATATTTTCTGATTGAATCAAATGCAATGATGAAAATGATAAAAATAAATGAAAATTATTGTTTCAAAATTATTTTCAATATTACTTTCCATTAATATAAATGTAAAAAAATAACCAAAGTTGAAAATAAAAATTTCCTATCAAATGAAAAAAATCACAAACAAAATAATAAATTAAAATTGTTTTGTTTAAAAATTATTTTCAATTACTAGATACAAAAAAAGTACATAAAAATCTCGGAATCAAAAAATGAAAAAAAAAATATTTTATAATTAAATCAAATTAAAATGAAAAATGATAAAAATAAACAAAAATTAATATTAAGAAATATATATATATAGAAGTAATTAAAAAATGGTTAAAATTAAGAAAAAATTTCATAATCTTCAAAAAATATTCCGCGAGTATATAAAAATTTTTCAACTTAGTGAGACAAATGAGAAAAAAAATAGTTTTCTATTTTTATTCGACTTAATTACACACTTGCTGCTGATGGCTAACCAAAGCACAGTGTTGATGCTCTTTCATTAACAAAATACACGTGTTTATAGAGGAGAAGTTGAATTAGGTGTTGTGACACGCGTCTTGAGTTAATCGAACAATATTACCTCATCTCATTTCGCAATATTTAACTAACACTTGCTCTGAATTTAATCCTTTATATAAACAGCAAATTTTTCTACTTTTCAATCGATTATCAATTTTTCATTTTTTCTATTGCATTTCAAAGTGGGAATTTACTTTTCATTTTTTAATTATATTAATGATTTATTTTATTACTTAATCATTCATTTTACTAATTAATGATTTATTTTACTAATTGATAAATTATTTTACTAATTAATAATGTTTATTATTACAAATTAACGACTTATTTTACTAATTGATGATTTATTTTACTAATTAATAATTTACTTTTAATTTTATTACTTAACCAGCATCAATTCGCGTGCGGCTGACTTCTCACTCACTTTTTTAAATAAAATTAGCAATTTTAAAAATAATAGAACGTAAAAATTTTTAATTCAAATTTCTTATTATAAAAATAAAATATGAATTGGTATATATAGTTTTAATATTATTATAATTATATAATAATCGTATATTCTGATATAGAAAATTCAGGGAAAAGTCAGGGATTTTTATTAAAAGTATTGACAAAATTTAATTTTTAGAAATCATAAGAAAATTCTACATTTTTTGGCTTCTTTGTTTGACTCATAAACTATAGAATTACCACGAATTCTAAAACAAAACCTTTAATTTTTTCAATTTCAAACCAAAATTTCTTTTTAAATAACTTAAATCTTGAACAACTATCAAAAAATAAATAAATTATTTTTAATGAATAATTTTACTTAAATATCTCAAAATTAATTTAATTTTAAAAGAGTTGTGTTTACAATTTTCATAAATAAATAAACTTCAAACGGTTTCAGTTTGAAGTTTTATAAAATTTTAATTTTAAATGAATTTAATTAGAAATTTTAAAGAACTTTGATTTTCGAAAAATTTTAATAATTCAAAATCTTCTAAAATTTAGTTAAATTTCAAAATATTTAATTTATTAAAATATATTTCAAAATATTTAATTCATTAAAATATATTTCAAAATATTTAATTAATTTTTAAAAATAATGGATTTATAGAAGAATTTCAGTTAAAATCAAGAAAAAAAAAAAAAAAAATTCTTTTTTTTTTTTTCTTTTTTTTTTCAATTTTAAATGAATTTAATTAGAAATTTTAAAGGACTTAGATTTTTGAAAAATTTTAATAATTCAAAATCTTCTAAAATTTAGTTAAATTTCAAAATATTTAATTTATTAAAATATATTTCACAATATTTAATTAATTTTTAAAAATAATGGATTTATAGAAGAATTTCAGTTAAAATCAAAAAAAAAAAAAAAAAAAAAAATTTTTTTTTTTTTTTTTTTTAAAATTAAATTTTGAAAAAGTTAGAAATTATTGCAGAAATTCAATTATTTTCAAAAGTAATAAAATTATTATTACAAAATGCAATTATGTTCAAAATTTACAAAAAAATCTCTACAAAATCCCAATTATTATCTTTATAAATAAAAAAATTCTTCTTTCAAATTCAATTATTTTAAAAAATTTTCATATTTCTTGTCAAAATTTCAATTATTTTCAAAAATTTTCCTCATTTCAATGATTTTTAATATCTATTATTTTCATAAATTTTCCCGAAAAAATTTAATTATTTTTAAAAAATGTTGATAAAATTCTACGCAAACTTTCAGTTATTTTCATAAATAATAAAAAATTCAAAGTAATTGCACTATTTATAATAATAGAATTTGCATAAATTTTTTCGAAACAAATTAATTATTTTTAAAATTTTATTAAAATTCGTCGAAAGAATTCAATTATTTAAAAATTTGTTGATGAAATTCTTTATGGGAATTCAATTTTAAGAAACATTTAATTATTCAATAAATTATTTATTTTTCTATTTCAAGAATTAAATTTTCGTAGAATTTTCTAATAAAAATTAATTTAAAAAATATTTTTAGTTATAGATTTTTAAAATAATAATTGAATATGAAAATAATTTTGAAGAAGTTACAGTAACAATATTCTTATAATTTATAAAATAATTATTTTATCTCCTGGTCATCTTTAATTATTATACAAAATGAAGAAATTGATCACTCCGAGTCTTCGACTCGGAGCAATCGATGTCTTCATGTTTTATAACAATATTTTAAAAGTTTTTTAATTTCAAAAAAGTTTGAATTTGAAATTTTTGAAAATCTTAATTTCTATGGAAAAATAATAATAATTAAATATTTATTTAAAAAAGAAATTATTGTTTTCAAATAATTTTACAATTAAAGATATTCGTAAATTTTTTTCAATAACATTTTTTCCTTTATTTTCTAAAAATTCAAAAGTTTTCAGTTTCATTTTTAATTAAATTTTATAAATAACAAAT